ACCCCAATATCATACTTATCTATTACAATTCCATTGACTCCATTCCCACACTCTACTCCACATCCCGTTTCTATTTCTAGTTTGATGAGTGTTTTTATTATGAAAAGGTGTTGGGTTTTGTTAAATGCTTTTTCTGTGTTGGTGATGGTCAAGTGTCCCATCCCCTTCTATTAATTCAGTGTTTTACATTAATAGGTGTGTTGAACCACTCTTACATTCCTGGGATATATTTCACTTGGTCTTGGTATATAATGTTTTTAAAATGCTGCTGGATTGTATTTGCTAGTATTTTGTTGAAGATTTTTGCATTTCTATTCATAAAGGACATTGTTCTGGAGTTTTCTTGTGATATCTTTGTCAAGTTTTAGTATCAAGTAATGCTGGCCTTATAGAAGAGTTAGGAAGTGTTCTCTTCAATTTTTTGGAAGAGTTTGAGAAGTGTTGGTGTTAATTTTTCTTTAAATGTTTGGTAAAATTCACTAGTGAAACCATCTGGTCCTGGGTTTTTTTTGTTGTGAGGTTTTTTTTTTTTTAAGATTTTATTGGGGAATTGGGGGAGGGGAACAGCCAAGTTGTTGTCCTTCAATCTTAGTTGCGGAGGGCGCAGCAAGCTCAGCTCCAAGTCCAGTCATGCCACTCAGCTCAAGGTGCTGTGTTCAATTTGTTGCGGGTGGGCGTAGCCACCTTCCCATGTGGAATTCGAATCGGCAGCCTTGTTGTTAAGAGTGCGCGCTCTATCCCCTGAGTCACCCAGGCAGCAGCTGAGCTCAAGGTGCTGAGTTCAGTCTTTTTTGTTTTTGTTTTTTTTTGTTTTTGTTAGTTGCAGGCAGGCGCCATCCTGAACAGGCAACCACATACTCTTACCAGCTGAGCCATCCTGCCACCTGTTGGCAGCTCAGTGGCAGCTTAGCTTGGGCACAGCTCACTGGCCCATGTGGGAATCAAACCGTTGACCCTGTTGCTCAGAGCTCTTGAGCAAGCTCTTAACCAACTGAGCCACTCGGCTGGCCCCTGTTGTGAGGTTTTTGATTACTGCTTCAATCTTTTACGTGTTATAGGTCTCTTCAGATTTCCTATTTCTTCTTGATCCAGTTTTGGTAGTTTGTATATTTCTAGGAATTTGCCCATTTCATCAAGATTATTTAATTTGTTGGTATTAATTGTTAACTAATTAATTGTTCAATATTCTTGTTATTCCTGTTACTGAGAAAGCAGTGTTAAAATCTCTAACTGAGATTGTGACTATATCTTTCTCCTTTTGGTTCTATCAATTTTTGTCTTTTATTTTTTGAGACTATGTTATTAGGTGCATACAAATTTAGGATGTTTATATCTTCTGGTAGATTGACCCTTTTGTCATTATTGTCTCTCTTTATCTCTAGTAGTGTTTCTTGCCTTCAAGTCTATTTTGTCAGATATTAATATAGTTATACTAAAGTTCTTTTGTTAATGTTTGCATTATATATTTTTCTACCCTTTTGCTTGCAAGATTTCTGTTCCCTTGCATTTAAGATATTTCTCTGGTAACATATACTTAAAAAAAAATCAAGTCTGATAATCTTTGCCTTTTAATTTGACCATTAAATGAATTACTAATATATTTGAGTTTAAACATATCAGGTTACTATTTTTTTTTCTTTGATACTTGTTCTATGTTCCTTTTCCCTCTTCTTTCTTACCCTACTTTTGGATAATGTATGTGTTTTTTTGAATTCTATTAGCTTGCTAGTTGTGCATTCTTTTAGAATTCATTTTGTGGTTTGCTATATGCATCCTTGACTTATTAAAGTACTTTTACCACTTCCTGGGCAATGAAATAATCTTAAAACACTTTATCTCCATTTATTGCCCTTTCAACTTATATACTACTGTTATCATGCTTTTAACTATTATACCTCCCTCTTTATTTTATTACCCAGAAAACTTTATTATTATTGCTTTACACAATCAATATTCATTTAGATTTGGCCACCCTTTTCGTTGTTCTTTTCTTTCTGCTTCTCTATGCTTCCATCTGGGATAATTTTCCTTCTGTCTAAAGAACTCCCTTTAGTAGTTCCTTTCTGAATTTCAACTTTTTTTGTTGAAGTATGACTGGGGTGCATCCCAGGGCCCCTTGTCTTTGGTGCTCCCTGAACTCCAATTTTTGTTCTCCAGTCAGTTGCCTAGCCTTTTGGCCACTGCCTGTGAGTTGGCAAATGCTTCAAGGAGGAAAGCTGCTCCTTGCTGGGCTCACCTCTCCGTAATTCCCTTCTTTGCAGGATCTTTACCCTTGAAGTCCTCACTGCTTTTATATTTCTCTAATGTCTTTGCCCAGATGTTTTCTTTGTATTTTGGCCAGCAATTGTTTCTGCTGGAAGGTCATCTGCAACAGGATAGCCTATTGTTACTAGGATTGGAAAGCTTGCCTGGTAATTTTTTGATTTTTGCACTTCTGACTGATGGCTGGGAAATGTTCTGCGCGTGTGGAGCTCAGACAATATTATCAATATTACCCTCCTACTCCTCCATTATGAATGCACACGAATGGCTATATATTCATATACATCATACATACATGTACATGTAAAATGTACACATAAACATACAAACACATACTATATTAAGGCACACATAGGATCTTTTCTCGTTAAGCCTTTGGAAAAGATGTAGAAAATTCTTGCTTGTCAGCTACTTATAAAGCCTTATATCACTGTTTTCTGAATTATTTTCTGTGATATGTGAGTGTCCCACATGATGTTCCTAGGTTCTCTTTGCTAAAATGGTGCCAAGGTTAATACATTTGGGAAATTGTACATGGAATCCTTGCCTTGGAGACATCCAACACACATAAGCATGTTAAAGGCTCTGAAACATGTAAATAAACTAATTTCATTATGAAATCTTTTTTTGGGGGAATACCTATTCCCATCAGTAGGTAAATATTGGGAAACACTGCCTTATATCAAACCTACATCCACAAAACCCTACACCTATGAGTACCTGGTGTTCAAGGGTCTTTGTCTTCACAAAAATGAAGTGCTATCTGGTGTTTCATCAAATGTAGATACTGCAGGGAGAGTCTGAAAATATCAGGTGTTGGGTTTGGAGGGCTGGACACCCTTTGCTAGTCAGTGGTTTGAAAAGGCAGAATTTTGGGGTACATTCATTCCCAGCTCTTTGTCTGTTTGTATCTCCTGGAATAAAACCATCTGCTCGGGTTCCCTTGGTCCCAGCCCAGCTCAGCATGGGGTACCCATATGTGTTGGTGGAAATTGAATTTGATTCTCATAAGACCCAACTCTCCCTCACTTCACCTACCTCTTGGAGGTCTTGCCGCCCCTCTGTACAGGTGAGAGGGTGAGACAGTTGTGACAGAATACACAGAGCTTCTGTTCAGGAGCCAAGAGGCCTGGGTTCAAGTCCTGGTGCTGTGTGACCTTGGGAGAGTTAACCATGGAGTAGCGGGTGAGAGCATGGGCTTTGGTGTCAGACACACTCAGCCCTTCCACTTCCTTGCTGTGTGATCATGGACACATTACTTCACCTTCCTGCTTCTCAGTTTTCTTACCTGTCAAATGGGGATAATAATAACACCCACCTCACCTTCACTTTGTTGTGAGAAGGAAACAAAACAATGTATGTCAAGTTCAATACCTGGAACATGGTAGGCACCTGGCAAATGTCAACTATTATAATACTTCATCCAATCTGACTCCTTCATCTGGGTTTGAGGAGAACCCCAACCTCTCATGATGCCTGAGGATCAAATAGAATCTTGTATGTGAAAAAGAGTTTTGTAAACTCTTGGAGACAAGGGAAAGCCAGGCAGTTTTATCATTCCTGCCCTTGATGCTGCCTCACTCCTTCTGGCCGGGCAGGGTGTGGGGGCCACACCAGCCTCCACTCCTACTCTCTGGAAGAAACATTTCTCCATTACAGAACATTGGCAAGAAGATGTCCTGCCAGCAATTCATTACCAACTTGGACCAGCTGAATGATGGCCAAGACTTTTCCAAAGATCTGCTGAAGGTATAAACTGCTAAGGGTCCCCATGTGCCCAGCTGTGCCAGGGGTGGGTGGAGAGGAGCGGGGGTCTCTGCTCCACTAAATCCTGATTTTTCAGGTTTGTTCTTTCTTTCTTTCCTTCTTTCTTTCTTTCTTTCTTTCTTTCTTTCATTCTTTCTTTTCTTTCTTTCTTTCTTTCTTTCTCGCTCTCTCTCTCTCCTCTTTCTTTCTTTCTCTCTCTCTCTCTCTCTCTCTCTCTCTCTCTCTCTCTCTCCTTTCTTTCTTTCTTTCTTTCTCTCTCTTTTTTATTGTTAGTTTCAGTGTACAGAACAATGCAATAGTTATCCTTTTCACCCTTCACATAAACAACTCCCCTCCCCCATGTACTGCCCTCCCACCCCAATATCATACTTATCTATTACAATTCCATTGACCCCATTCCCACACTCTACTCCATGTCCCGTGACTATATGTATATATAATTATAGTTGACATACAATGTTATTCAACATCAGCTTCAGAAATACAGTGCGGTGGTCAGGCCTCTACACAGACTATGAAGTGGTCTCCCTAACAAGACATGAGTCCATCTGGCCCCCTAAAAAATATTTACAACATTATTGATTATATTCCCCAGACTGTATTTCAGGTTCTTAATACTGGAGTCAGGGCCACCATGACTTTGGGACAGAGTTAGAGACCATTCAGCTCAACATTTGACTGTTATATGTTCTCTGAGTTAGGCAGAGGGGTAGGCTTTGAGATTTGTTTTTGGTGGTACATTATCATTATTGCTGTCATGGTAATCAACACTGCCACCAATTGTCACAGCTGCCACTGCCACTGCCACCACTGCCACCACCACCACCACCATTATCATCACCACAGAGAAAAGCCCACTTATCCCTTCAACATCACCAGGAATTAATGGGATCTAGTTTTCTTTTGAGGCTGAGGCCCAGGTTAGAACTGTGGCCTTTCAAGCCTGGTAAGTTCTTGGCCTTGGATAAATAGGAGCATGTTTTGGAGGGTAGATGATGAATCCAGTTTTAGATAGTGGCTTTGAAGGACCTGGTGAAACCAGGTGGGCAGTTGGATAGAGTCTGGAGGTTAAGAAATAGAACATTGTCTTTATCAGTCTTCTTACTATAATTATCTTCTTCATCAAGGAGCACTTTTTAAGAGCATATGTGAGATCAAATAATCCCAATCCCACCATCCACCTACCCTCTTCTCCCTATCTACTCATCCACCTACCTACCCAACCTTCCATGCATCCATCCTTCCATGCACCCATCCACCAACTCAATTATTTATCTGCATATACACCCACCCATTCACCCATCACCTACACATACACTTCCTACACCCCTAAACACTCCCCCCACATACTCCACATCCACTCATCCATAAACCCACCCACTCATTTCCCTACCCATCCACGTACCCAACCAACCCATTTACCCACTCATACTCAAATCTGTCCACCCAGCCATCTACCCAATCACCCACCCTCCTATCCTACACTCACTCACCCATCCAACAAACAAGTATGAATCAAACACCACTTTGCTCCATTGGCTGAAAAATGCTCCCTCACTGCCTCCACATTGCTAGAGGTAGAGGGAGATTTGATTTTTCATTAGAACTCCTCTCTCTCTCTTTACCCCTCTCCCAGACCCTTTACAACTCCATCAAGAATGAAAAGCTGGAATGGGCCATGTGAGTAGTGCCCATGGGCACAGGTATGGGGAGACTGAATCTCTGGGAAGGGGAAGGTGGAATGGCTGGGGGCACAGTGAAGGCACTCCTGCCACTCTCCATGGTGCTGATTTCTTCCAATCCAGGGCCCTTGTGACCCCTGTCTAGCTGACCAGCACCTGGTATTGAATTCCCCTTTAGGTTCATTTCCTGTCTTGATAAAAAGTGTTCAATATTTACACTTCTATGGAATACACAGAACAGTGACTTTAATTCCATGATGTCCACACTGGTTTTCTGTACTGGGGATACTACCCCTATTCCCAAACAATAACTTTCCCCTTTGGGAGGTAGGCAGGCAGGAGGCACAGGTCCCTCTATAACCCCACGACATCTTAAGGTGGCAACTGTTCTTGGCAGTGGGGAGGGGTGACTACCCCCTAACTTCTTCCCTTATGAAGGCAGTGAGACCTGGAGCTGCCCAGCTATTTGGAAAGAGGTGTGGTAACTTTGCCGATTGGAGAGACTGGGAGGCCACCTGCCCTGCTGTGTTCCCTAGGGCAGCCTGGGTCTTTGGGTCCCTGTAGAGGTCCCAGGCAGGGATTGTTCGGAACCCTAACCCCGTTGTGAAGAGCTAACATTCTTCTTTCAGGGCTCCAGTAGGGAGCCTAGACTCTATGGACCTCATCTACTCGCTGCCCTCCCCTAGCACATCCATGGGGCTTGGGCAGCAGCTTCAGTCTGGTCATGAGTTACTGCACCCTGGGGCTGGGCTGTCAGGGTTGGAGAGAGGAGAAGGAGGACCAGGTAGGGGGCCTGGAGATAGTAAGGTCTCCAACTTATGATCAAGGGTGAGGATTGGAGTTTGGAGGCCAAAAATCAAAGGTCAGGAGTCAGAACTGAAGACCGAAGGGAGGGCTCAAAGATTTAGATCTGTGATCTGGAATTGGAACCTCCTCATCTCTGCTCTTCATCTCGACTGGCTCCCAGGGGGTGGTGGGTGGGGAAAGGGCATGTTGATGTTGGGCTGAGGCCTCTCTGGAGGCCATGCTTAGGCCTAGTACTTTCCTAGTGATGAGGATGAGCTGAGGAAATCACTGTCTGAGCTGGTGGATGACAAGTTTGGGACAGGCACAAAGAAGGTGACACGGATCCTGGATGGTGGCAACCCCTTCCTGGATGTCCCGCAGGCTCTCAGCGCCACCACCTACAAGCATGGTGTGCTGACCCGGAAGACTCACGCCGACATGGATGGCAAAAGGAGTGGGTGTCAGGCAGGGGAAGGGGCATGGGGAGGGATGCTAGTGCAGATGGGGTCCCCGCCCCCCCTTGGCCACTCCTCAAGGGATGCACATGAAGGTAGACATGTGGGGGAGGCAGGGGAGGGGATTCTGGGGTGGGTGGTTGTGGCCACACTACCCATGCCCCCCTTCCCAGCGCCCCGTGGGAGGCGTGGCTGGAAGAAATTCTACGCAGTGCTCAAAGGGACCATCCTGTACCTGCAGAAGGTGAGCTACTGCTCCAGTGTCCTTACCCAGGAAGGGCCAGCTCATTCCCCCTTCCAACCCCTGCCTTATGGTACCCAGAGGTCCTTGGGCAGGACCAGGGGCTTAGGCAGATACTGGGGCCTCCCCTATCAGGGGACTTGGGCTTGCCCAGAGCTTTGGTGGTTTCAGGGAGGGGTTTTTTAAATGCCCAGAGGCTCAGAGGATACCCATTGTGAGGCCTGTTCAGGCCTCTGGGACAAACTGGGGTGTGGGGAGGACTGCCCGGAGTGATTCTTGTTGGGGTGGACATAGCATTACAGTGGCAGGAGCTAAAAATGGAGGGAGATATAAGGGTGGAGGGAGGGCGATCGAGAGGGAGGGCTGGTGAGGGGGGAGGAAGTGTGGGTCAGTAAGCCAGAGCCTGGCCATGACAGAGGCTACCCTCCACCCTGCCTGTCCAGGATGAGTACAGGCCTGACAAAGCTTTGTCTGAGGGTGACTTGAAGAACGCCATTCGCGTGCACCATGCTCTGGCCACCAGGGCCTCTGACTACAGCAAGAAGTCCAATGTGCTCAAGCTGAAGACGGCCGACTGGAGGGTCTTCCTGTTCCAGGCACCGTAAGTAGGAGTGGGAGCCCCCTCACTTCCGCCTTGGGCTCAGGGCCTGCAGCATGGAGCCTGGACCACACCCCTCTCCTCATCCGCTTCAGTGGAGGTGCTCTCAGCTTCCCTTGCGTGTAGGCACAGACCAACAGCAGGGGTGCCCTGCAACAGTGCTTCTCCAAGTGTGGTCTCCTTGGCATCTCCTGAAAATGTGTTAGAAATGCAGTTTCTCCAGTCCCACCTTAGATCTGCTGAATCAGAACTCCTGGAAAAGGGCTGGCAATTGGGTTTTAACAAGCCCTCCAGGTGATTCTGATATACGCTAAACTCCCTACATATGGGGCAGATGGAGCCTTTATGAAACATTCTTCACTTTAAGTAGGGGTGGGAGGAATGGGGAGGAAAGACTCGCCCTATAGTTTTCCTGTAAGGTGGTCTTCCATCCACTCCCCTGCACCCCATCCTTCTGTGACTTGAGATTGGGGTTTTGTGTGTCAGATGAGAGAAGCTAGTAGGCGAGCTCTCAGGATGGGTGAGTACTTGCTGGGAGAGGTAGTGGGTACGACTAGCTGCCCAGTTGCCTCTAATGACCATGGGCCTGCTGGCGCTGGGACCTGTTAGCTCCAGGGCCATTAGCTCCGGACCTGGCAGCTTTATTTTCATGTGAAAATCCAGGTCTTGCCTGGGAGCTGGGACAGGAGGGAGCTTCCTACCCAGATGTGACCAGGCCCATCGGCCCTCATCCAGCTCCCCTCCCTTACTCCTATGCCTATCTATATGGAGGTATTTGTGCCCTCTCTGTGCCAGGCTAGTGCTGGGTACTGGGTGCTGGGTTGGGGAGAGGAGTCCTACTGTGAGAAGCCAGTGCTCTTTCGCCTCCCCTCCTGTCCCCAGGAGCAAGGAAGAAATGCTGTCCTGGATTCTTAGGATCAACCTGGTGGCCGCCATCTTCTCAGCCCCGGCCTTCCCAGCGGCTGTCAGTTCCATGAAGAAGCTCTGTCGCCCCCTGCTGCCCTCCTGCACCACTCGCCTCTGCCAGGTACAAGCTCCTGGGGTGGTGACACTGCCTCCCCAGGCTGCCTCCTCCGTGCCAGCCTCCCCTTCATCAGCCCCTACCTCAGTTCCTACATAGTGTCTGGTCCTGGGCTAAGAGACAAGGCGAAGGGCAGATATTCTTCTCCATCTCCACCCCACTCCCATTTACAGATGGGAAGACTGAGGCCACATACCACACAGAGGCCAGGCAGTGCTGTGGTGGGTGGCATGGGTGTGCTTCTCTGCCAATCGTGGTATATCCTGTGGATGTGATTGTGTGTCTGTGGGCATCACATATATTTGGGCACGAATGTGAAAGAATGTGTGTGTCATAGGGAGCTAGGGACAGGGAGACTTGGCTGACCCTTAATCCAGTCACCTACCCTTAAATGTTTTATTTGTAATCCTAAAAAAACCTCCAGTTCATCCATATTCCAGTCTCTCTCTCTCTCTCTCTCTCTTTCTCTCTCTCTCTCTCTCTCTCTCTCTCTCCCTCTCCCTCTCTCCCTCTCTCCCTCCCCCTCCCTCCCTCCCTCTCTCTCTCTCAGGAAAGGATACATGGTGGGCTACCACTTGAGAAGTACAAGGCAGGGGAAGCTTTACTTCCTGTCTTTGCCAGCTGCTGGCTCTTTTCCTACTGGGCCCCTGTCCTGGGCCTCTCCATTGAGCTCGTGGGGCTGTTGCTTATGCCCACAGCCCCTGTGCATTCACACTCAATCCACACACCCACACCATACAAATGTCCACACACGCACACACATGCACAAAGCCCATTTCCCACACAACACAACGTGATCTGGCTGTACTGTGGTGGGTGGGATGTATGTATGCTTTTTGTCTGTGAGTGACAGTCTCTGCTTGTCTTTGGGTGTGATCCTGGGTCTGCAGCCATTGTATGTGTCTGGGCATGAATGTGAGAGAATGTGAGTGTCATATGGAGCCAAGGGTAGTCAAGGTCAGACTGCCCTTGGTCCAGTGTGCATGTGAGGGGTTGTGTCTGGGTGATTGTGTGTCTGTGTCAGGGAGTGTAAATGTGCACATGAAAGTGTGAGCGTCTCTCAACTCAAGCTTGCTGAGGAGTACCTGGGAGAGCTGATGTTGACAAGAGCAGGGAGGAAGGAAGGAAGGTGGAAGAGTACTCCCTTGGGTCCAGAGCCTGGCTCTACCCCATTTATTTGGTGACCCTGGTCAGACCTCAGTTTCCCTTTGGTGAAGTAGATCCTGGCAGTACCCCTACGACATTCTAAGACTGGGACCTCACAGTCCAGGACTTGTCTTTGCAGGAGGAGCAGCTGCGTTCTCATGAGAATAAGTTGAGGCAGGTGACTGCAGAGCTGGCTGAGCACAGTTGTCACCCAGTTGAGAGGGGCCACAAGTCCAAGGAGGCGGAGGAGAACCGACTGAAGGAGCACTATCTCATGTTTGAGGTGGGCCCTCCGTGGGATGGATTGCGAAGGACAGGGCTGGGGCTGGAGGAGGAGGCCACCTCCCGTCTTCTACCTCCCACCACCGACATCATTCCATAGCCAGGGGCTCCTGGTTTGGGTATTGTCCACTTTGGGGGCCCCCCTGAGGCAATTGCTAAACCATGAATGGCTTCCTGTGGACCAGTCTCTGCAGTCCAGCTGCCAATTGCTAATCAAACAACTGTACCTTCACTTGTGTCTCAAAGAGAACCAGTTGGGCTCCACCGGAAACCCCCACCACCCCCTCACCATACTCCAAGCCCCTCCTCACCTCCACTTCTCCACAGGCCCAGCTTTCTCAGGAAGCTTTTTCAAACAAACCACAGAACTCTCAAGCCCTATCCATGTGACTTTCCCCCACTTTGTCTCATTTTCTTCTTTCACATGTTTCTTAAGCAGAACAACTTAATCTCTCCTAAGTGCTCCCTTCTTTCCATCCTATCTTTCTCTGCTCACCACCCTGATTCTGCCTCATGATACTTTGTGAATAGGGCTGACAGAGCACTACCTTAATTGGGTGAAAGATAGGGGGTTGGCTTGGGGAAGGAAGGCAGGAACCACTTGTCCATTTTGGACTGCCCTTTGGACTGACCAGAACATGGGGGTGGACAGATAAAGAGGCTGAGACCGAGCTAGGAAGCCCCCAGAGTAGGAAGGATGGGAAGTCACCAATCTCAGTCTCTAGATTTTTAAAATTTATTTATTTTTTATAATAAAGTAAGAAAATTTTTTTTTAAAGATTTTTTTTATTGGGGAATTGGGGGAAGGGGAACAGACAAGTTGCTGTCGTTTTGTTCTTCAGTCTAGTTATTGAGGACGTGGCTTCACTGGCCCAACTTGGCACCATCATTGCGCTCTTCCCGGGCGAGGCAGATCAGTCTCCAGCTTCTGGATGGCCGCTCACAGCGGCTGCTGGCCGCTCATGCTGGCTGCGGGTTACATACGGTAGCATGGCAACCCACTGACACAGGGGCTGCAGCCCACGCCGTCAACGGCGACTCAAGGCAGCCCAGCTCCAGGTTGAGCTGCTGTTCAGCATCTTAGCTGTGGAGGGCAGTGTCACTGGCCCTCATATGTGGGATCCGAACTGTGGCCCTCTGGCATCCCAAGCCAGTTCTTAACCATCGCGCCACTTGGCCGGCCCTCAGTCTCTAGATTTTCTATCGAGGTGTGGTGAAGAGAGGAGAGTTTCCAGGATAGGTCTTGACCTTTTGAAAAACATAAAGCTTTATAGCTTTTGGAAGTCTTCTCAGATCTACTCTCTGCAAGGTAAAATGGTGATGGCAAGAGCTACAGTAGACTGATCTCTTGTGAATTGCCAAGTGTGATTTCATCACTTCCCTTGTATTGACTGATTTAATCCTCATATCCATTCTGTGAAATTAATTCTGTTATTATCCCCATTTTATAGACAGAGAAATTGAGGCTTGGAGAGGTCAGGTCACTTGCCTGAGGTGACACATTTAAGAAGTACAGGAACCAGGATCCTAATCCAGGCGATAGATTGTAGCTCCAGTACCCTGGTCTTCCTTACTCCCACCCAGCTTAATTAGGGGGGAGGGGAGCTGAAACCCAGCAATGAAGGGTCTTTCTGCTCATGTGGCTGAGCTGGGCAAGAACAGGGTCTCCTGACCCTTAGTTCCTGCTTCTTCTAGGACCCCAGACTACCCTGATTATGGTGAGGGGCTAAAGCTCAGAGTCAAGGGCCTCGGATGCTGTCACATCTCCCTCTTAAATGTTTACCAATCTACAAACTTTCACCAAACTAATAGGTTTAACAAATGGTGTCCCATTGCTATTTTAATTTGGATTACAAAAAACCCCCAAACCTTTAATTGTGATAAAATACACATAGCATTAAATTTACCATCTTAACCATTTTTAAGTGTGTAGTTCAGTAGTGTTAAGTCTATTTGCATTGTTGTGCAACCAATCTCCAGAACTTTTTCATCTTCCCAAACTGAAACTCTATACATACTTATTAAACGTCTCAACCCGCCCCACCCTAGCCCCTGGCAATCACAATTCTACTTTCCATCTCTTTGAACTTGACTACTCTGGGTACTTCATATAAGAGGAATCATATAGAACTTGTGTTTTTGTGTTTGGCTTATGTCACTTAGCATAATGTCTTCAAGATTTATCCATGTTGTAGACTATGTAAGCATTTCCTTCCTTTTTAAGGATGACTAATATGTATATACCACAATCTGCTGATTTATGGTTGCTTCTGCCTTTTGGCTATTGTGAATAATGCTGCTATGAACAAATATTTCCTCGAGACCCTGATTTCAATTCTTTTTGAAGATATATCTATATATATCTATATCTATCTATCTATCTATCTATCTATCTATATCTCCATCCATCCAGAATGCTGGATCATATGGTAATGTTATTTTCCACTTTTTGAGGAATAGCCATACTGTTTTCCACAGCAGCTATGCCATTTTACGTTCCCATCAGCAGTGCACATTTTATGTTCCCATCAGCAGTACACAAGGGTTCCAATTTCTCCACATCCTCACCAACACTTGGTATTTTCTTTTTTTTTTCCTTTTATAGTAGTCATCCTAATGGGTGTGCGGTATCTCATTGTGATTTTGATTTGCATCCCCCTAATGATTAATGATGTTGAGCATCTTTTCATGTGCTCATTGGCCATTTATATATCTTCTTTGGAGAAATGTCTATTCAAGTGCCTTGCCTATTTTTTTAATTGTTTTTTTTTTGTGTTTCTGTTGTTGAGTTGTATGGGGTTTATTATTATTATTATTTATTCATTCTGGATACTAGACCTTTAACAGATATATGATTTGCAAATATTTTTCTCCCATTCTTTAGATTACCTTTTCACTCTATTGATTGTCCTTTGATGCACAGAAGTTTTAATTTTAATATAATCTCATATGTCTCTTTACTTTTGTTGCCTGGGCTTTTGGTGTCATATTGAAGAAGTCATTGCTAATTAATTTTGATTTTTTAAATTATGAGTGAAATTTCTGTGCATGTCCCTTACCCATTTTTTTAAAATTGAATTGGTTCTCTCCTTTTTATTGATTTGTGAGAGTTTTCTGAATATTAAGAAAATTAGTTTTTTGTCATCTAAGGTACAAATATTTTTTTCGTAATTTGTTGTTTGTCTTTTGACTTTGTTTTTGGCCTTTCTCTGCCCTTTCTCCAGAAAAGCCGTTATGAGACCTATATCCACCTCCTGGCTGTGAAAATCAAAGTGGGTTCAGATGACTTGGAGCGGATTGAGGCCCGGCTGGCCACCCTGGAAGGAGATGATCCTTCTCTCCGCAAGACCCACTCGAGCCCTGCCCTCAGCCAGGGCCATGGAACTGTGACTGGCAGCAAAGCCACGAAGGATACCACTGAGCCTGATACTTAGCTGGCATGAATGGGCAGGTCTCAGAGGCAGGCAGATGCCCCAGAAGGGTCAGTGAGCACAATTCCATCCAGGGGTCACTCGGACCTGCTCCAGGCAGTTGACGGGCAACCAGAGGGGTGTGGAGAGGCTCATGGACCAAGGAGATGAAGATGCTGTTCATGGCGTCGATCTTCTTGCATCCTGGAACTTCTCTGGGCCTCAGACCCTCTCCCCAGCCCTTGCTTCCCTCTCCAGCACAGAGCCTCATTTTGCAGGCCAGTTGTGTGCATGCTCTAGACACCATCTCACTGGAGAAGTGGGAATGGTGCTTGACTTCCAGGCCCTTGTCTTCTCACAGGTTCCTCCTCATCCCTTGTTTCCGAGGGCAGGTCTTGACTCCAGGTCTCAACTTGGACCCCCACCCTTTTTCCTCCTCCTTCCTCTGAGTTGACCAGCAGCAGGTCTGCAGACCACCAGCACCATCCTCTCCTTCCTCTACCCAGCAGTCTCTGGAACCATGCTTCGTACTCCCTGACATCGCAATAATCCAGGACCCTGGCCTGCTCTCTCCATGCCAAGCTGTCTCTGCTCACGTGTGCTTCCACCTCATCTTCCATCCATTGAGGCCACTACTGATTTCTTTTATATGGACATAAATGTATATATATAAGAATTATATATATATATATAATTATATATAAGGACCCCCTTTAAAGATGGTTTTGGAACTGATAATCAGAGGATGAAATAAGATGAAGGAAAAGCCTATTTCAGAACTCTGCCTGTTAGCGAGGAGGACTGCTATCTGGCCCCCTGGTGGCTCTGACACTCTGGGAGGGAAGGTGGAGATAGTACTGACCTCCTCTCACCCCATTTTTTCCCTCTTCCGGCTGACCTGTGACTTACACTGCTCTTACCGTTGATGTTTTGGAATAAATAGACAGTGGGTGTGTGTGCCACCCCATCAGTCCCACAGGCATCCTGGTGTGTGAGTGGGATGGGACCATGGCTCTGTTTATGTTTTGGTCTTTATATTGGTGCTGTCAGGTCTCTGAGTTCCAGAGGTGGCCTCGTGTACAGATCTACTGCTACAGGAATAAAAGACACTCTGCCTTGCAAATAGCCACTTGTCAACAAGCCCAAAGATATTTGGTGGGGGAAAGTTATGGAAGCTATTAATCCTTGGTCTTGGGAAAAGGTGGAATGACAAGTTGCTGATTGTTTTTTAGGTTGATATTTCTTTTACTCTTTTAGTGACTCAGAAACGCTAGCTAAGGACATGTCTGGGAAAAATAGAGAAATTTGCCACGTGATGATCACAGACAAGCATCCTTTAAACCCCACATTCCTCAGATTGACAAGTAGTGGGGTGATGGCAGCCACAATGCAGCTATGATGAGTAAATCCTTTCTAAATTTTAAATAGATTACTATAGTTTGGCCAGCAATTTGACCTCAGTGGTAGCATATTTAGTTAGTACCGTAAGTCAACCTTGCAACTAAATACCCAACATTTACAAACCCACTCATGTTAGATGCAAGGGACATGTGAATTTATGGAGAGATGTAGTGATTTATATCCAGATTATTTAATTTGGATCAGATAAAGTGTATTTTATAACCAAACCATCCGACCCCTTAATTTTGCCGAGGGGAAGTAAATGTTCATTTAAGTGAACCTGAAAGAGCAATGTGGCAATATAAAGAGCTTTCTGTACTTTCTCCATGCTGTCTCAAAGGTCCTTTGAGCTTTGGTGTCAGCTTCCCATCCTCTACCTCACGAGGGCTGGTGAGTGAAAGCAGAGGACTGAGCTCTGTCTATTGCAGACAGACGTGCTTCCCTGAGCACTAGTTGTGTCTCCCACCAGTAAAAAAATATTTAGTTCACTTTCTTAATTGTATAATTATTTATTGTAAATTATATACATGTGCTACCGTACTAAAATATTATGTACATTATAAAACACGCAAAAATAGAAATTTAAAAAAGATGAGATGAAAATAAATCTAAATCAAAGCTCTAATATTTTTTCCTGCATTCTAATGGACCATCATGTTCACCACACAACCTATGCCCCTAATAATGCCCACTTTCCAGGACTTGTTCAAATCCAGGGGCTGGAAGACCGCGGGTGAGATGCTGTAAGTGGTTTGCGCCACCTGGTGGTCCTGGGCAGTAGCTGCAGGCTCAGGGACTCCTGGAAGCTGACTCTGAATGACAGTCTCTTGAGCCTTCTTCATCCACTCATTCAATGAACGTTAACAGTGTCGCACACTCTGGGTGCTGGGGATACGGTGGTGAGAAACAGATTGATCAGCTCCCTGTCCACATGGGACTCACAATCTAGTGGGGAGGGGGACAAGCAGTCACCGTTACCATTTGGGACTCTGGGAAGGCTGGGAGACAAGCCAAAAATGACCCGGCAGAAAGAAGAAAGAACTGGAGGAGTGGGTAAGAAGACTGACTCAGGAAGCTGCCCGGATGTCCTAAGTGGTCCTGGGGGGACAGGATGGTAGGAGGGAAGTCACTTAGGACTATATCTCTTCCTGACAAGCCATACTAAAGATGCCCAAAGGCAGGAATTAGAGAGGCAGAGTGGAGGGGCAGGGTGGCACTCTGGCCACACCTGTTCCCAGGTCCCATTCACATCTGTGAAGTCAATGAGTGGCTGCAATGATGAGAAAAGACTCAAGGAACTAGATTTGGTTTTGGCCTTAGACTCTGAGCAGGTATCTCAGAATCCAAAGCAGATAATGAAGGCACCAAATGGGGTATGTGAAGTCCAATGAGTTTATACCAGGCAGTCATTCAGAATTACTTGGGGTCACATACAAGTTGGTGGGTTCGTTGGAGTCATGGATTGGTTTCTGACTGAACTCTTAGAAGCTAACAGCAAGTCGGCCTGCAGAAGGGTCAAATGAGAACACTAAGCTGGGTCATTAAGTCAGTGGGTTCACCAAGAGTTCATTTCTAATTACTTGGGGTCATAAAAAGGTCAACGAGTTCACCAAGAGTTCATTCCTAATTACTTGGGGTCATATAGAGGTCAGTGGGTTCATTGGGGTCATGGATTGGTTTCTGACTGAAAGTTTAGAAAGTTACAGAGACTTGGCTCTCAGAAAGGTCAAATGAGGACACTAACCGGGGTCATGAAGAGGTCAGTGGGTTCACTAAGAGGTCATTCCTAATTACTTGGGGTCATGAAAAGGCCAATGGGTTCACCAAAAGTTCATTCCTAATTATTTGGGGTCATATAGAAGTCAGTGGGTTCATTGGAGTCATGGATTGTTTTCTGACTGAAAATTTAGTAAGTAACAGCAACTAGGCTCTCAGAAGGGTCAAATGAGGACACTAAGCGGGGTCATGAAGAAGTTAGTGGGTTCGCCAAGTGTTCATTCCTAATTACTTGGGGGTCACATAGAGGAATTACTGGCTTTCAGACAAATTTAAAGCCAACTGCAAACTCAGAGCAAGGAGGAGGATCCGGATAAGATCATCAGATGGGGGCTAGGAGAGGTCAGTGATTTGCATGTTTATGTAGCATTTAGTTTATTATTTTCCTTTGTTTCTTTGTAATGGGTATTTTTTCCAGTGCCCCACATGAATACAATGACTTTAGTTCTTTATTTTTCGCCGTTACCTCCCTTTCATCCAGTTTTTGCCTGTGATTCAAGAATGCAAGACATAGCATATCGTCATCACCATCATCAAATTAGCCATTAACGGGCACCTGCATGCATACCTTGCTTTACTTTATTGTGCTTCACAGATGTTTTGTGTTTTACAAATTGAAGGTAAGACCCTCCATCAGCAAAAAGCTTACGACTAACTTTATTAAGATTAGCTTCACTGCACTGGTCTGGAACTGAATCCGCAATATTTGAGGTATGCCTGTATCAGGTCCATGAAGCTATACTGGGTGATAGATTATATATATATATATATATATATATATATAAAACCTCCACAACATCCCTTTGAAGTAGGTATTAGAATTACTATTTCAGCTTAGGAAACTGCAACCTAGGGGAAGTTCCACAGCTGGTGAGGGGCAGAGCTGGAATTTGAACTCAGGCACTGTTGATACCTAAGTCCTCTCAACCTTAAGCCTCTCTGTCCCTCCCTTCTGTAGGTCTCCGAACAGACTACACACATCCTGGGGACATTCGTGCGCAGGTGTGCACAAGTCAATCACCTGAGCAATCTGGATAGAAGACTCCCTCATGTCGGGTTGGAACTTAATGGTTCCTGGCACTGGGCACTGGTTTAATAAATTAATCAATGAGGGCAAAGGCTTCTTAACCCTGGACCTCCCTCTGCTTTCTCCATGCCTGAAATCATGTACTTTTCATCAGGGACGGCGGGTTTAGACAAGCCCTGGCTCTGAGGGGTCTAAAGTTGGGAAAAGAGCAACACCCTGTGGGCTTACAAGCTGCAGCAGCTGTGGTCCTCCTGGCAGCCGAGGGTACCCATTATCCACCTTGCGTGTCCTGACTTTGCCTGTGACATGCCTGAGGCCCCAAGGGTCATCTTGCCTCAGCTGCCCCAGTGCCAACCCCATAATCCTTTCCACCTCACCCACTTAGGCCCGGAAACTCTTGCCTCAGTTCCGGCCCCTGTAGCTCCGGGGCAGGAACTGGGCCAGAGTTCTGAGGCTGAGCTTGAAGTAGAGTAATTTGGGTCAGCCCCTTGGCCAGGTTCCCCAGCAGCCAGGGGGATACCTTGTGAATGTTCTTGGAAGAGGGAGGAGGGTTGGAGCCTATCATGAGAACTAGAGCCAGGGAGATTCGAGGGAGTGTCTCTTCCTCCCAGGGACTGCCCTGGCCCTCTCCAACTTTCACACCAGTAGCTATCCATTTCCACCCCAGGTCTTCAACCTCCATCTTCCCTCTTCACCTGGGGGCTAGGCACAAACAGTCAAACATGAGTTATTTCTGATTTTATTTATAATATAAAAATGTTCAAGTGTCAACAGTCAGGTGTTTGGACATTTCAGGGCAGGATTCCCATTTGTTTGGGATATTTTTTAAACAATTACCTTTTTGACAAATTAGCAGTGGACCCAGTTTTGGGGGGTGGGGAGGACAGGGCTGGAGAGGGAGTGGAAGTCATAGATGGGTTGGGAGCCTGGGGGGGGGGTCAGGTTGTGAGGAAGAAATGGTGTTACGTTATTGCTAAAAGGGGAATCAAATACACTGTCAAGTGGCTCTTCTCGGTCCCAGCGTGACCATGCATTCAATCTAAAGAATCTGAAATGCAAAGGACATGCAGGCGTAAAATAGAAAAGACGACCTGTAAACGAAGGTGCTGCAGAGGACGGAGGGGCGTCCTGGAGGCCATGGGGGAGGAGGAGCCGCAAACGTTGGGGCCCTGGCAGAGCTGCCTCCTCCCTGGGGCAGGGGCTGTTGGGAAGAGCTGGCTCTCAGTGCCTCCCCCCTTAGCAGCTGTGAGGAGCGGGGAGACCCCCTCCCCATTCAGGTTGCTGTCGCTGGGCCTTAGTCACCCCCTGGACGTGACCTGATCCCAACTCTAGCTCCAAGCCCAGGATCCCTGCCGTCTCTTCAGGGGGTCCGGGACTCAAGGTCTTACAAGGGGGGCAAAGCTACTCCTGTCCTCATTTCCGTCCTCAGAGCCAATCCATCACCGCTCCGCACCTCGCCCACTTCCCCCCAGAACCCTGCAGCCTCTTCTCTGCCCGGTTTCTCTCACCCCCGCCAGCTTGGGATCCTACATTTCCCCCACCCCCAACCCCCAACCCCCAACCCAGACTTCTCTCCAGGAGCTCCAGATTAGCGTACAGCAAAAGGCACCACAATATAGGTTTCTATTAAAGAGTCAAAAAATTGGCCCATCTCTCTTTTTTTTGTTGTTTCTGTTTTTTTTTCCGAAGCTGTAAATCAGGATGTTACATATAAATAGTTTCCCTATAAAAACGTCTTTGCCGTTAGCTAGTATTATAAGACAATTTTTGCTAAAATGAAAATAAAACATTTTGTTATACCTTTTTCCTTTTATAGAAAATAAAAATATTTTTATTTCTTTTTTCCTCCTCTCTCCAGTCGGTGGTCTCTGTTCTCTTTAAAGACAGGGGAGGCGGGGACGGCAGGCCCTAGAGGGGCGCCGAGTCCTGCTTGGCTCGTGGGGGCGGCCCGCGGCTGTGTCTGCTGCTGGCCCGCGTGCTGTGGCTGTCCAGGGAGTAGTAAGTCCTGCTGTCGGCCGCGCCGCACAGCGGCGGCGAGTCCGAGCGCAGCGCCTCGTGCCCGGCGCGCAGGCCGAGGAAGGGCGTGCTCTCGGCCGCCAGCGCCCCGTCCGCGTCGTCCGCGTCGTCGTCCGAGGCCGAGGCCGATCCGCCTCCCGAGCCGCTGCTCAGCGACAGCGAGTCCCGCGTCGCGCGTGCGCGCTGCGCCGCCAGCCCGTTGAGGCGCGAGCGGCGCCAGCCCCGGGGCCCCGCGGACGTCCTGCGGGACGCGCCGCGGGCGCGAGGCCGCGGCGGCGGCGGGGGCGCGCACTCCTGTGTCGTCTCGTACTCGTCGTCCTCCGGGATGCGGAAGGGGCTGGCGGGCAGGCTGCCTAGGCTGCCGCCCAGCGCGCAGGCGCCACGCCGCGGCCCCGGCCCCGCCGCAGGGTAGTAATAGCTGTCGTAGCTGCGCTGCATATCCGCGCCGGGGCCGGGGGGCGCCGGGTGCCGCAGGAGCGGCTGCTGCTCCGCCAGGCGGTAGCTGATGGGTGCAGCTGGCGGCAGCGACACAGCGTGCGCCGAGTTGGGGGACGTGATCTCGAAAGTCGGCACCTGCGTGGCCAGCGAGTAGTGGAAATCCACGGGCGAGAGGCGCGCAGGAGTGGTCAGGGCCGACACATACCTGTGGGGAGAAGCAGAGGCGTGGGCCGGGGTCAGGGTGGTGGTGGGGTGGAACCCGACGAAAAGAGAAAAGCAATGGCCTTGCCTTACTTAGATCACACCTGCAAGAACCATGGTATTAATCCCGTGACCTTAAGCAATTTCCTTAACCTTTCCGAGTCTGTTTCCTCAACTGTTAAACGGGGATGACCACAGTGCTCATTCCGTAGCATTGTTGGGAGGAGTCCATAAATGTATCAGTGGGATGCCATAGCCCAGGACCTGTCTGACCCAGGATAAGCCTCCGTGAGTGGTTCTTTGCTGTGGGGATGCACACAGTCATTGGATTTCCTTACTGGTTACTTTGGGTCAGGCCTAGGCTGGGGCATTTGATTTGTACGATCTCATCGAATACAGTAATTCTTTAAGACCCTTATGTTCGTTCCACACTACATGTGAGGAAACTGAGACTCAGAACAGTTAAGTCGCTCAAGGTTCACACAGCCAGGAAACGGTGGAGCTGGGATTTGAACAGAGGCCAGGCAGGAACCAGGACTTATACTGCCCGATTCCAAAAACCACTAGTCCCTATTCAGCCACTCCTGTGACTTGGACTCACTGTCCCTGAAGGGACAATTCATCCCGTGGCCGATGGCTTCAGAACAGGAACTACTCCTGCTTATATTGAAGCTAAAAGCAGCCTCAGGGAAGTGACTGCTCACACATCAGGCAGGGTCCTCAGCTCAGGGCTGAGAGTTACCAAGACCCCACCAAAGTGTGTCTGCTTGGGGCTACAGACCACCAGTTCCTCCAAAAGTTTGCCCTTGCTAATATTTCCCAGTCTGGGTCCCAGGCACCTGTCCCTTTTCTTTCTCCACATCCCCCTTGCTGAAGTCCATCAGCCTCTTGCCCAACCGTTGACTGCCTTAGTACAGGGACCACCCACCTCCACACCTCTCTTCCAAACTAGAGCTGGCACCTCACTGCTCTCCGGGGTCCTGATTACTCTCTTTCTGAATCACCTGATTCCCCTCTCTTCCCTCTCCCACATGCACATCCAATTAACCACCAAGTCATACCCATTTCTCCTCTCCTGGAGTCACCCTCCGCCCTGCTCCACCCTGTCCTGGGCCTAATAGTTCACTCTGGTCATTTTCGCATCCCAGGTATCTACTCCTTCACTCTGTTCAGTTCCCAGAACAGTCTTTGAAAGTCACAGCTCTGCTTACCCACCCAGGGCCCACCTCCTAAGAAGCCCAGGACCATCAGCCATCTATTTGGCCCCAGCCTGCCTGTTCAGGCCCAGCTCCTCTCCTCACAGCTCACTCTGCTCCAGGCACCTCACCAGCCATGTTCTGAAATGCCTCTGCTGGCACTTCAAGATGTTCCCCTTGCCTGGAATGCTTTCCCTGTCCCTCTACCTCCCAACTATTAAGGAGTCCTCTTGCTATCAATAATAACAGCTATGCCTGGTGAGCACCAACTCCATGCCAGATAGGAGGCAAAAAGCTTTGCGCACATGATTTCTGGTGCCTGTCACAAGAACCATAATGATGGCCATTGTTTTCCCTGTTCTACAGCTAAGGAAACAAAGGCACAGAGGTGCCCAATCTGCCCCCTAAATTGCACAGGTGGTGGAGCTGGGCTTAGAAATGTTGGTCTTGGAAAACCTGGCTGCTTCCCAGAGCCTGCGGTCACACTGGATTGCTCTGCCCCGGTGGGGTGTCCTGTGCTTAGCACTTTCCATAGGCAACTGTGAGTTCCAGTGGTTTGTGCCCATGGCTGGGAACTTCTTGGGAGCGCAAGGACAAGGTGGACCATCTCTGGGTCCCCAGGCAGGCCTGCCCAGCATGGGGCTGGCATGGAGTAGGCTGAGTTGAGAGTGGGAGAACATTTGCTCCACTCCAGCCCAGAGATCCTGGTACTCTGCATCTTCCTCTGCTCTCCTCCCATAGACACCACTTGCTAAGGGCCACTTGACTCCTGGCTTGGAGCCAGGGAAGAAGGGGAGTTTTCTAGTTCTCACTGCATCCGTTGCTCAGGAGCCCAATGGCGTTATGATCCACGGGAACTTGTTGATGCTGCCAGGGCCTGTGGTCATTCTTGGCTCATGCCTAACCTCCACTGGTCAGTCTCCTCACAGACAACCTCCCCTCCCGCACTCCACTCTGCTCATTCTTAGTGCCTTTCTGTTCCTGCTGGGACATGGGGCCTTTAGGTAACACCAGGGGAGGGCAACCGTATGGTTTGCTTGGGACAGCCCAAATGTTCCTGATGTTCCAGTGCAATTATTAATAACATCCGCCACTACTCTGAAAAGTATCCTAGTAGGACAATTCAATGAGATGGTCACTGCACACCAGGGTTCACCGGCCTGGCCATAGTCCCAATCTATTATTAATATACTGATGACACTGAGAAGATCACTGAACCTTTCAGGGACCTTTGTTTGCACATCTGGAAAGTGGGGATGAGGCTCTTTGGAGTGTCTCTGAGATGGCCTAATGGTCAGCCCTGGGTCAGTGGTGCCCGCTCTCTGGCCAACATGGGGCACAGGTCACGGGGTAGGAACTGACCTCTCGCTGTGTGGGGAGTCGCGCAGGGAGTCTATGGAGTCATGGTAAGGTGGCACGGTGGCCCTGCGCTGCTCCTCCAGGCTGTAGGCTGCTGCCCGCCGTGCCCGGGCCTCCACACATGCTGGGCTGTTGCATTTGCTGGTGCCCACCGATGACAGCATGATGCCCGACTGGGAGTCAGAGGTCAAGCTCTCAGAACGTTCCAGGCTCCATGTGTGGCTCTCATGCCTGGAGAAGTCAGGAGAGGGTAAGGCGGGTGGTCAGGAAGGAGCAGGGCAGCTTAGCAGGTGTGTTCCCAGGCCCACCCCCTCCCTGGGTCTTCATTCCATCTCAGGCTCCCTCAGCTCACTGCCCTTCACGCTGGGCTGATGTGTAGTATCACCAATACCCAACCCCGATATGGGAGAAGGAGGGCTCGGGTCCTGTGGATGGGTGAGCTGCAATGTGCAAAGGCCTCTTCCTTTCCTCTCTGCAACGAATCCCCACTCTAGCCTAGGCCTAGGGTCCTGTGCCTGGGACCCTTCCAATCCCATGGCCCTTAGCCACCTATCTCAGGAGCCCAGCCCCACTGGCCAGTACAAGGGAGCTTGCCTATGCCGTGCTGGTCCCCAGGGAAGAAAGGAGCCAATCATGCTATTTGTGAGCTGTGGGAACCTTGTGCTCCCACAGAGAAGGCCCCCTTTCTCTCCTGTGGGCAAACCCAGGAGAGGGTATCAAATATCTCTGGGCATTTGAGTCAGTAGACACTTTATGCCACAGAGGGTGGTGCTAATGAGGTTCAAAAAACTAGACATTAGGTGGGAGCGCAGGGATGCTGTTGTTCCTCTGGGCTGGTTTAGACTGGAAAAGGGAATCTGGTCCCCTGAGCATCTGGATGAATGTTTGGCGGTGGGTTCTGGTTTAGAGCCCCCTACTTCCATCCTTCCGCTTAGAGGGACCCTTAATACAGAGCCTGGCTGGAGATTTCTCTGTGTGTCGCCAGGCAGGTATGTGATGTGTGTGTCTTCTCTCTCTGTGGGTGTGGGTACAGAAGTCTGCACATCTATGTGGGGGCCTTGGTGGTGCCCACCTGTGGCTGGAGGTGGGCGTGGCTGTGGAGCAGTGGTGAGACGGAGAACAGGAGTGGCTCCCAGAGAAGGTGGTCTCGGTTTCCCTCCTGATGACGTGGTCTGTGGCTGGCACGTTCTTGGAGATATACTGGAACAGAGAGTTTGGCAGGAGTTAGGGCAGGTGACCAAGTCGCCCTTTTTTTCTGGTGGGGATGAGAAAGTGAGGCCCTAAGCTCCAGGTTGGGAGGGGGTGCACTGGATATGTGACTTGGTATTGGGGCAGTGATGGCCCCAGCAAATCAATCCCCCCGCCCTTCCTTAAAGAAGTGGGCAAAGCGAGGCCAGTCATCCTGGTGAGGCCAGGCAAGGCTGAGCATGGGAAGGGCTGGCTGCTACCCTGGCCCATCCTTCAGGGGCACGAGAAGACTGGCTGTACAGCCAGGGCTCAGAGGGGGACCCGGAAATACCACCACTCACGTCTGCCATCTGGATCTCCTCAGGGTCCAGCCGGGGGTGGCTGGGCCCATTGGCCAGGCTCCGGTTCTGGTGGGCTGGGCACATGTTCTGCCGGAGGTGGTTGTGCACCTGCTTCCGCTGTTTTCTGCCCAGGGGAAGGATGTGTTAGCCGGGCACGCCCCCAAACAATGCATGAACTCCCCTAGCTGCCGCTCTGGGGAAGCCAGTCCCCTCTGCCTGGACTGCTGTGGCAGTCTCCTGCTCTTTGTGCTCAGGCTGCCCAGAGCCAGGGCCCCTCCAATCTGCCCCCAGCCTGAATTCAGCAGGACACGAGTGTAGTGGTCATGAGCTTTGTCTCTGCCGCGAGAGTAGAACTCCACCACTTTCTAGCTGTGTAACCCTGGGCAAGTTGCTTCAACTTGCCATGATTCACTTTCCTCATCTGTAAAATGGGGGGGATCATTTAACCATCCCAAAGACCACTGAGGACTAAGAGTAGTTAAAATATCTACTGGCCCACTCACTCATTTCATTTATTTGGTATTTAATTGGCTTTTTACTATGTGCCAGACGCTGTTTTAGAGCAGAGAAGGAGACAGACATAGTCCCTGCCCTCCTGGAGCTTGCAGGTCAGTAGGGGAAGCTGATAATAAGCATATAAACAAATACATGAACAAGAAACTTTCAGCAAAGTGTTATGAAGAAAATAAAGCAGGGTGCTGTGGTCAGAGAGTTGAAGTCTATAGGGCTGCTTTACTTTGGCATATATTAAATGCTTATTACATTTGTTTTGCAATCAACAAGTCCCATCATGTCACTCCCCTTTTTAAAACCCTTCCTTGGCCCTCAGTTCCTGTTTCTTTCCCTAGACCTGTCTCTCACTGTCCTCTCCCCACCCCAGCTTGCATTGGAGGGCTTGTTTCTGATCCTCCATGGTGCCTGCCCTCTCTGGCCTCTGGGCGTTTGCACATACTGTTGCATCCAATTGGAATGCATTCTCTGCCTCTTTACCCGCTAACTCCTTATGATCTCTCAGGCCCAGCCTAAATGCTCCTCCTCAGAGAGACCCTTCCTGCCCTCCAGTCAAGGTTAGGCACCATGAAATGTGTCCTGTGACCTTTGTGCTTAGAGCACAGGCCATATGCCTGGTTCAGGGCCTGGTATCTGGCAAGTACTGAATGAAAGTTTCTTGAGAAAATGAGTAAGTGCAGTGGGGGGTTAGAACAGAGTGCTTGCTTTCCCCCCAAGTCTTGGCCTCAATTTTCCTACTTGGGCCCAGTATCCTCCTCTGGGATCCCTGAGCCCCAACTCCCTCCATACCTCTCTCTGACTTTCTGATCCTGGACTCATCTGGAGGAGGACTGGCAGGGCCTTAGATTCCATAGATAGGGGTAGCAGGAGTCAAGACCCAGGGGCTAAGTCCCACAAATGGTGGCTATGCCCAGGTTCTTGCTCTCCAGATAAGAACAGATATGACAAACCTATCATTTTTCTGCACTACGTCACTCTACAACCTTCGTTGCTTCCCCCATCACCTTCAGGATAAACCCAACATCCTTAACTTGGCACTTAATGCCCTGTGGTGACATCTGAGTTCCAACTGTTTAATTTTGACCCCAGCCCTTTGCCTCAACCAGAGTGGTTGCTAGTTGCTAGTTCCTGCTTATGATCCAGGAACATAGCTGACCCTTTCCTGCATTTATTTTTTTAGCTTCCACTATTCTACTGGAACTGCCCAGACTCCTTTCTGCCCCTTTTTTTTCCCTCTTTTCATGAGGTTCTGCCCCTACATTTCTTCTGCCCAGGGGTGGCCCAATCCCACCTTCTCTGTGTTCTTACCTGGACTGCTCCCAAGTGGGACCAGGCAGTGCCTTGTGAGGTCTCTTTTTTTCTCTGGGAATGTGCCCCTTCTCCTCTGTGCTTCCCCCCGCTGCAACACCGCCCCTGTGCCTGCCTACTTGACAGGGCAGATGTTTCCTCACAGTGTCCTCTGCGGTACATACTAGAATCATTCCCATTTTACAGATGAGGACTCAGAGAGGTTTATCAGTTTGCTCAGGGTCACATGGGAAATGGCACAGCTGGATTCAAACCCAGGTCTGTCTTCTTCCAATGCCTGTGCTCATGACCATTTCTGTTCAGTCCTCTGGGGCCTGTCTCCCCGACCCTCTGCTCCCGCCTGTTGGCCCAGCCCTTTGGCCCCACACAGCAGCAGGCAGTGGAGGCAATAGGAGAGGGTGTGTGTGTGTGTCGGGGGCTAGGCCAGGCATGATGCTAGGGGGTGGGAAGGGGAGCCTGTCCTTACAAAAGCCGGCTTAGAGGCCCACCCCTGGCTTGACCTACCCCCGGCCTCGGAGCCTGACACTCACTTGGTTTTGCAGTAGGCAACCACACAGACGATGCCCACGACCAGCAGAGCCACACAGATGCCGGTGATAGTCAGGACCCTCTTCTGGTACAGCTCCTCAGCTTCTGCAGAGGCAGGGATGTGAGGGGGCCAGGCAGGAGGTGGACCCTTGGGGACAATGGTGCAGAGAAACACCCGCCCTGCCCCCAAAGCCTTGGGCTCCCTCCAGCTCAGGTCCTGCCGGCTCATTCCCTTCTTTCCCTGCCCAGCAGCCTCCTCCCTCCTGCCCGCTCCTGGATTGCCTTCTGCTCCCCCAAATTCCACCCACCAGTGGATCTGGGCACAAGTGACTACCTCTGAGTTCACCTTCCCAAACCCCATGCCCTGCTGTGGGCACGTGAGTGGAACATGTAGGAGGATGGGAGGATGGAGGCGACGTTCCCAAGGCCATAGAGGAGGGCAACCCAGCTTGGCCAGCAAACCTGCCCTGCCCAGCTATGGCCTGGTGGTTGCAAAGGACCTTGATGAGCTGGGGGGAGCTCTTCTTCATGGTGGTGAACATGGCAACTCTAGGCGGAGGTCTGACTTGCCACTGTAGCTTCTCAAAGGCTTGTTCTGGGCTGGTGGTGACAGGACATCAGACCCAGAGGACTTAGGAGGATGCCGGGACCAGGGATGGAGCAGATCAGGCCCATGGCTGGGGCGTGGGGAGAAAGGCCTTCATCTTTCCGTGCAGCCTGGTCAGGGTTGTGGCCCTGGCCCACAAAAGGCCTCCCCGTCTTTGCCTGTGAGAAGCCCACAAGTGGCGGCACCAGCCCCTTGGTATCTAGGACAGTCCTTGTGCTCCAGGTACAGCCCCACCCTTTCTGAGGAGCTGAGCTAGGCTGGGCCTCAAAGCCCTCAAACAGACCCAACTAGGCCCTCCACCTCCCACTTTTTCTACCCTTTTAGAACAGAGAAAGCTAGGAGGAAGAAAAGGAACAAGGTGACAGCACCAGCCATAGTCTAGGTATACAGCCTAGACACCCATCCCTGCTCCCACTCGCACCTGCTGGCTGGCCCCTCCACATCACTCCCTTCTCACAGTGCAGGAATAAGTGGACCCCAATGCCTTGGTGGAGCCTTGGGAAAGGTAGCTAAGCCTTCGGGCTTGCTGCACCTCCTGTGGCAAAGGTATACCTACCAGCAAACACCTGGGGAAACAAATCCTCCAGACACACACACCTGTGGGGCCATACATATCTGATACACAGACAGACCCCTTCACAAAGATGCACTCACACACACATCCAGAGCACATATGCACACACAAGTGTGCGCGATCATGCCTTCTGAAACACAACCATGAGGAGTCTTGAACAAACAGCTCTCTACCTCAGGCCCCCATCACGAGGTTCTGTGGTCCATGTCCTTCCTGCCTCCAGTTTTCATCCCCGTCCACCCCTCAGTCCTCTCTAGTCAGACATCTGTCTCTGTTACTCCTCTGAGATCCCTCTGGTCATGGTCACTGACAACCTTGCAGCTGACTCCCTGTACTGGGCACACTCCCGTTCTCTTCCGGGTTCCTCCTCCTTCACTGGCTGATGGCTGTGTCTCATTGTTGCTTCTTCCTCTTCCATGTGGGCTGCTGGGCAGAAGGACCCAGAGCTCTCATGCTTCTTTCTTTTCTCCACCTGCTCTCTCTCCCTTCGTAATCTTACCCAGACTCAGAGTCTAAATGCCATTGGTATACAGCTGACTCTCAAATTTATATCTCCTGCCCTGACTTCTCCCTCAGCTCCAGACTCCTACATCCAAGGGCCATGGCCCTACACTAACACTGGTCCTCACCCTCTTTCCAAACCTGCTTCCAGCGCTTTGCATCTCTTCAGTGGCAGCACCACCTTTCTTGGTTGCTCAGCCCCCAAAACCTTGGAATCACTCCTGATCACTTCCTTTCTTTCTACCTACCCTGGTACCTGATCATTCAGCAAGTCCTCTCAGTGCTACCTCCCAAGTAGATCCTGGATCTGACTATTTCTTTCCATTTCCACTGCTTCTGGCTTAGTTCAAGATGACGCCATCTCTCATCTGGACAGCTGGCCATCTTCTAACTGGTTTCTCTGCTTCCACTCCTCCTTACCCTGTACCCTGACCCAAAAGCCATACTGATTTACAAACATAAAGCAGACCATTTTACCCCCTGCTTAAAAACTTACAATGGGGCTGGCCGAGTGGCGTGTTGGTTAAGAGTTGACTTGGGACGCCAGCTCTGAGCAGCAGGACCCCGGTTCGGATCCCACATGTGGGCCAGTGACGCTGTGCCCTCTACAGCTAAGATGGTGAACAACAGCGCGACCTGGAGCGGGCCTGCAGTGAGTCGCAGGCGATGGCGTAGGCTGCAGCCCCTACTGCAGTGGGCTGCGGTGAGCTACCGTGAGTGGCCAGCAGCCAGCGTAAGTGGCTGGCAGATGCCATGAGCCACCCTGAGCTGCCGTGAGCGGCTGTCCAATGGTCAGTGAGTGACTGCCTTACCCGGGTAGAGCACAATAATCATAATACCAACATGGGCCAGTGAAGCGACGCCCTCCACAACTAGACTGAAGAACAAAAGGACAGCAACTTTTCCCCTCCCCCAATTCCCCAATAAAATCTTAAAAACAAAACAAAACGAAACAAAACAAAAAAAACTTACAATGGTTTCCAACTGCAACTGGAATACAACTCAAAACCTTACCATGGCCTACGAGGCCCCAGATGTCCTAACCCCAGTCTTCCTCTTAGGTCTCATCTGCAGTCCTCTTCCTCACGTCTGCTGTGCTCCAGACTTGCTGGCAGTCTTTCTGTCCATTGAATGCGGCAAGCCCACTCCAACCATACCATCCCTGACCAGCCTCAAACACTCTCCCCCAGCTATTTGCAGGGCTGGCTACTCTTTCATGTCACTAAATGCCACCTCAAAGGACAAGCCTTCCCTGACCACTTAGCTAAAGTAGCTCCCACTCCAGCTAGATGCTATCCCATTACCTTCTTTTGTTTTCTAGGTAGCACTTACCACCACCTGATAGCTTTCCTGTTTGTTGTCTGTCTCACCCTGCGCATCTGAGCACCAGGAGAGCAGGGACTCTGCACCGGATTGCCAGACTCTGGCGAATTCCAGGGTTCAGCAGATGTTTGTTGAGTTAGTGAGTGGATGAATGTACAGACCACCACGACAGACACAGACACATATTCACATAGGTTCACACTCACCACCCCATCCTCACAGTTCCAACTGCACAATGCTCAACCCTTAACACAAAGGTATTCCACTGCACCCCTCCATGCACTTACATCCTGCACCGAGAGACCTAACAAGGTATAAACATTTTCACCACCCCTCCGAACATATACACCTACAGATTCAGCCCTGCGCACCTTGCTGCCACCACAGTCACTGCCCAGACCCAGCCTCTGTCCTCCCTCCCCAGCCAGTCATAGTCAGCAGACAGACATGTTCTTGCACACAGACTTTTAGCTCTAGCTTCTACTAATAATAGCTGATAGGGGCTGGGTGGTAGGGACACTGGGGCCTCCCCAAACCTGCCATTAGAACAGCCTTTTCATGGCTGTAGACTCCACGTCACATCTGAGGTCTGACCCCACTGAAGACTTGGCCCCTCTGAGCCCCTCCATTTCTCCTGCTGTAATATCTCTGGACACTTGAGGCAGGGTGGAGCCTCCCAGCACAAGCCAGAGAACTGGACAGACGGATCCCCAAAGTCCCTTTCCATCCAAGGCATTTTCTGGGGCCAGAGGGCAGGAGTGGGAGGGAGGTAAGGTTTTCCACTTGGAGGGGAGGGGCAGGCACCAGAGGCCAGCCCACTCTAGACCCTTGCTTACAGACGAACACGCATGCCATCGTGGGGACAGGTCATGGAGGGAGTGACAGCCTCAAGCAGATGGCAAAGCCTGGCGGACAGACCCAGGACAGGGGGCAGAGACAAATGGAATTCTCAGCCGCCAGCCTGGTGCAGAATGAGAAGCAATGGAGATGGAAATGGGAGAAGGAAGGAGGGTTAAAGTTAAATGGAAAGGGCTGCCTCTCTGTACAACTCTCCAAACCAGGATGCCATGGCTTCTGGACACCGGCTCCCTGAAGGGGCCTGTCTGTCTTGTCTGGCCAACCCACTGGGCTGCACAGAGCTCAGGGGGCCCCTTCCCTTGCAGGCCTCCTAGCAAATGGCCTCAAGCAAGGGGGCACAGTGTGAACCACAGGGTACCCTGCCGTTCATGAGCTCCCCTTGTCTCCCCAAATAGGACATCTTGATGGAGTTGGGAGATATTTGGAATTCTCCCTTTTCCATGTTTTGGAAAGGAAGCCAAACATCCAGCACACATGGTGTCAGAGGCTGCAGAGAGGGGCTGTGTGGACGGCACTGAGTGATAAATGAAGGCTCCGTACCCTTTAGTTCAAATCCAAGGTGCTCTGGCAGTGCAGAAGAGAGGAGGGTCAGAAAGGGGAAGGGATGGAGGGAGAGATACAGAGAGAGATGGGGGAGGACGAGGGCAGGAGAGAGAGAGAGAGAGAAACGTTGGTCAGGATTCTTCAGACACCAGCAGCCAGCCTGTGAGGTGAAAGCAGGTTAGTGGTGTCCCCACCCGGCTTCCTGAACCCCTTCCCTGGCACCCCGTTCCCAAAAGTCCCTGAGAGGGGTGGAGAAAGGAAATGTTAGGATCAACAGGCAGGGCAGGCTCTTTAGAGATGAGCTGTGGGGTTAGTACCTGGTGGGAGGCAGAGGCGCAAGAGTCAGTTGGCATATGTCCCCAGGGAGGAAAGGTGAATGGGGGCAGGGGTCCGAGTCTCCATTCTCCCCAACCCAGCTCCAGTGCCAGGCCTTCAGCACTCTCAAGCCCCTCCTGGAGATGGCTTGCTCAGCCCTGGGCTCATTCATGGGCCCTGTTTTCTGTTCAGAACGAGTGCAGGGTACCCAGACTGGCCCTTTGTCCCTGTCCTGCCCCCACAGGCTTAGCTGGCCTGCCCATATACTAGGAGCCTGGGCATGGAGACTCAGAGTTTGTGGGGAACAGAACTGGGGAGAGGAGAAGGCTCCAGATGGCAGCTCACTTCTCCACTTGACACCCCTAACACCCTAGAAGCCTACAGAAGCTAGGCCTTGGAGTCTAAGCCTGATTCCATGACTTAGCAAAGCAAACTGCAACTCTGAGAGACAAGTGAGTTCACTGTGGAACATCTGTGCCCCTTAAATGTTGGTTCAGCTGTACTCTTTAAAGTAGGATCATGTTGCAAATGTGCAATTTCAGGATCCTTTGAGGGAGGTGCCCATGCCTGTTCAAAGGTGTGACTCCAAGCATATCCAGCCTATCCAGCTCTGAGTCGCGTATCTGTTAAACGAGAGTCAGGCCTGACCACAGAATCCCTGTGTGGTTTGCAACCTGGCTGTGCTTTAGAGGCACCCAGACCAACAGAATTGGGGTCTGGGGTGGGAGCCCAGAAATCTCAACAGCGTTTTGAAAAGCTCACCTACCATTCCAGTGTAGTGGCCAGCACCTGTCCTGAGGCCTTGAGGCTCAGTTCTATCTCTAATTTGCCATGCGGGTGTGGGCAAGTCATAGTCTTTGCTCATCTGTCAAAAGTGCCTACACATAGTGAGGGGAAGACATGAGCAGGCCGGGGCAGCGTGAGGCTTAGCGCAGGCGCAGGGCCCCCGTCACCGCCTCTCCACATGCACACAGTAAGCTCCGTGAGAATGGGGAGCAGATGAACTTGTGTTCTGATGTTCTCGTCTCCCGTACAGGAAGGAGAGCACGGGGACATCAGCAGGAAGTCCTGTGCATTGTCTGTCCCTGGATCTCCTTCTGCTTCCTCATAGGGATTCCAGAGGGTTCTGCAGTTGGAAAAGGGCAGGAGAGCAGGGTGGCTCTGAGCCAGGGACCAAGATGGCTCTCACTGAAAGAGGCTTGAGGAAGACCCTGGGCTCTGACCCCCAGTTCTATGCAGAAACCACACCCTTGAAGCATGAACCCCAGTCCTTCCAAACACAAGCCCTTCTGTGCATTCCTATTAAATATGAGGTTGGGAGTGATCTTGAATGTGGGTTCCTTGCAGTCTTTCTCTCACTGCTTGGAATAGGAGTCACCATAAGCACAGTGAGTCCACTCCTCTCCCAGGCCTCCCAGGGCTGGCCAGCTGTGCAAAGCAGACAGTACAACCTTGAAAAAGTCAAGGAGTCCTCAGGGGCAACTTTCCCTGAGTAGTTAAACCTGTCATCCAAGGGACCCTCCAGGCAGCTCGAGAGAGCTCATATTGTATGGAGATCTCATCATGCCCCCTGAGAAAGAACAGCTCAACTTGACCTGGGATGCTAAGAGGACTGTGGTTCATAGAGCTTGTCTGGGCCCCGCTTTTGATTGCTGTTGTATTAGATGAGGAAGCTGGGGCCCAGTGGTGCTAGGACACTTTCCCAAGGTCACACAATACATTAGGAGGCAGAAGGGAGACTTGAAGCCAGGTCTCCAGTCTCTTGGGGCTAAGCCACGGCTATTCCTGCCCATTGAGTCTCTGGGCAGGCCTGACTGGCTAGGCCTGAGGACAATGACTGTCTGGAAAAGTGAGCAGGGCTCCCCAAACCATTTAAGAGTTTTTTGCCCATCATTCCTTTGGGAACCAAGTAGTGGCTATAGCAGCAGCTTCTGAGCGTCCTGACTGTCCTCCCCCTTGAGTTAAAGACCACTATTGTTTAGGAGGACTAGTGGTGGCTGGCAGGACTGATGACATCGCTGAGTGCTTGGCCAGTCACTAGGATGGCATCCCTGCTTCCCTTTCACTGGAGATGGATTCTGCGGGGCCTGCGGCTATCTCTGTCCCAGTAAAAAAATATAGTCTCCTACTTACAGTGTTCACTGGCTGCCACACAGCCAGGAGGAGTGGCACCACTGAGTCACAGATAGGTCTTACTGAGTAGAAATTTCATATTGACTAGTAACCATGGCAACCTGATGCTGGACTCCCAACAAGGCCTGGCTTAGCAGACAGTATGCAAAGTCCTCATCCTGGACACATCCTATGATACACAGCCACAGGTGCCTGGACAAAGGAGGCCATGATGTGGGCTCTAGAGCACATGTGTTTGTGCAGGTGTGAGCACATGTGTATGTGTTTACACATGCATGAATACATGGTTGTGTTTCTTCATGTCTGAAGGTGTGTGAGCTCTTTTATATGGGGTGGGGTGTATAGATGCACATGTTTTGACCCTTGGGAAGTGGAGGGGCTGTCGGTGGAAGAAGGAGAAGCTTCAACGTGCTATCGTGGTCACAGGCTCTGTGTTCCATGGCCTCTGCAAGAGGTAACCTGGTCTAGAGGCTGTCTGGGCAGAGGGGTAAGGTCAGATAGATACTGTGCCCAGGATATGCTAGAAGTCAGCTTCCAAGGGGCTGATGCTGGCTCTCCTGCCTCAAACACACTCAAACAGCCATGGCAGGCTCCCTGCCAATCCCTTCATCCACATCACTTCATTTCATCCTCACAGCAACCCTACAGGCAGAAATGGTATTTCCCCATTTTACAGAAGTGAAAACAAACTCAGAGAGGTTAAGTGAGGCCCCAGAGTTAGTAAACTAGTTAGTTAGTAGCTGGCATTTTTATTCAGGTCTATCTGAATCCAAAGCCTGAACCCTTAAGCTAGCACTTTCCGCTACCTTTTCAATAACAATCTGCTAGAGTAGGGCATGAAGTGCTCTGGGCAGAGTGCTTGAAGAGTAAAAATCTTTTACCCAAAGGTAACAGCACTCAGCCTAATAACACTGGGAAGGAAGGCCTGGGGCTGCATTTCCAGGCTCTTTTCGGGGCTCCCGGGGCCCTGCTGACCCTTCCAGCAGATCTAAGCTGAAAGCTGAAAGAGCCCAGCTGGCAGAGAAGCTTGGCCAGTGGCCGAGTTCCAGAGGCTCTGCTGCTCTGATTCAGGATGGGCTGGGACTCCCTGCCCAGAACAGTCCCATAAGCCGAAGGGTGAAAAGGAATCGGCCCCCATTGCCTCTCTCCCCTAGTCCTCGGCTGTTCTGCCCCATCTTGAGGCCCCTCCTGACCTATGGTCCTTCAATGGGGCTGGATCTGACTCTGCAATTCTTCTTGGAGCCTGGGCTCTAGAGAATTCTGTTGGGCCACATGCTCTTATCCCCGTGGCCTTCCTCTCTGGCCTGCAATTGGAGGGGCTTCGGGAGAATGCTGCCTCCCACACTCTATTAAGATAGTTCACCATCTGGGCCGACCGGCCCCTACCTCCCTGAGGCCTCTACTTTCCTCTCCAAGTCTTGGCTTCCAGGCTTCTTGAAGGGGAGGGAGAGGGTGGCAATTTCTAGGCTTTTTGTGCTGTGGAGGACGGGAAAAGCTCGTTTATCCACCCTGAGACCCAAACCCCCAAACTCCTTTCTCCAAGCCTCTTGGGTCCTGTCCTTGGCCTTTTCTGGAGCTCTGCCTCTCCATGTCCAGGCCCCATCACTCTGGTTCCTACTCCTTATGGGACCCAGCGGTCCTTCCTGGAGGAGTGGGGGGCTAGGCTGAGCGGGGGTCTAATGTGCTCTGGAAGATGGGTGGCAGGGTCCCGCCTTACAGGCCAACAGACCCCGGGGCTCCAAACACGGAGTCCAAGGCTGGTGGTGGCTTTTTGCTTTGCTCCACCTCCACCTGGTGGCACGTGAAGGAACTGCTCCCAGTCCCAAATAAAACTATCCACAATTATGGCCTCATTTTCCAGCCACAGGGCTCACATTTTTTTTCACCAAACTGTGCACACCAGAAAGCTCCAATCTCAGAAGTGGAAAAAAGGAAGGGAATGAACACCTGGATTGGGACTCAGACCAGAGAGGGCCTGGAGGGAGTCACCAATTATCCCTCAATGCCTCAGTCCCCCCATCACACCGCATCCTGTAGCCACATAAATGTCTCCAGTCTCTGGCCAGCATGGAAACCATTGCCCTGGGTCCTGTTTTTCCTCAACCCCCTTGCCCACTCCCCCCATTACCCAAAATCACACCAAAACCAGCTCTGGCCAGACCTGAAGACTAAGCTTTCCAAGACCTTATTTCTCTCTCTCAAGCACACCAGCACACATGTGCACACACTCACTGCCCGGCCCCATTAGCAGCGTGGTATCCTCAAACAGGCCTTCAGAGGCAGGTAAGGGCTCTGCAAATGCTTCTTCCCATGCTGGCCAGGCTGCCTGACCCAGAAGCAATGAGGAGGCCTTAGCATGGCTCCAGGCAGCTGCAGGGAGAATTCAGCGTTACTGCACCCAGGCTGTACAGCGATGTGGGAGGCAGGGGTAACGGGCGTATCGGTCTCCTCTGCACAGGCTTCTGGTGAGCACTGAGGATTTAGAGGAGCCCAAGACACCCTCACAGCCCCCCCTAGTCTCGCTAAACAAGGCCCCATCCCTCCCACAGGGGGAGAATGTCAGTCACCAGGGAAGAAAAGAAATAGAAGAAAGAGACATACTGGAGAAGTTGACCATTGCGAACTGCTGACACCTGTCCCCGGTGTATCCCACAGGACACCTACCAAAAGAAAGAAAACCAGAAAGAGAGAGCCAGGATAGCAAGACACAGGCACTGCAACACCCCGGCACAGGCTCCTGCCAATGCCAGCTGGGTTCCTTGCCACCGTTACCATTTGTACTGGCCTTGCCACTCTGCCCCTTACCTGTAGCCCTGAACTTTAAACCCAAGGATTAGGCCAAAAATGAAAAACAAAGCAAAACAAAACAAAACAAAAGAACTAACAAACCAAAATACAAAAAAGGAAAAGAGAAACAAAACAAAACAGCCAAAGATCAAAACAACCAACACCCCTGGCCCTACGCCCTACATTGGGGGGGGACTGCACCCGGAAGCTTTCTAAGGAGCAGGGACTCGTGTTTGTATCTTCAAACATACTTTGCTTAGGATCTGGCATGTACAATCGCAAAGGCAGTTTCTCCAAACATCTCTGTCCGAAGAATCCGTTTGGACATCTGGAGAAGGAAAAGGGGAAAAATCACAGAACAAACTGGCATCATCCGCGAGGCTTAGGTTAGAAATCAAAGTGCACAGTGATGAATGAGAAAACCAAGTCGGGCACTGGGGCACACTCTTCGCGGAAGGGGCTGGAATCAGGGCTGGGTGGAGGGCTTGGAAATCTCCTTCAAATTCTCTCTAATAGATGTGGCTCCGTGGGTGGTGGGGAGAAGAGGGGGGCGGGGAGGAGGATGATATAGGGAAGGAGGGTGGGGAAATGGGGAACTTACTGCCTAATTGTCCTAATGGTTGTTGAGACTTCCCTCCTGACTTGCCTGGGCCCCCAGGAAGCCAGAACTGTTGCCGCTTGGGGCCAGGCAGTCAGCAGGCAGGGTGCTGGGGCCTCTGCAATACCAAGTTCTGGGGAGCCACTCCTTCTAGGCCCTACCAAAGGGTTCTCTCCAGGGCCCTGGGCAGGTTTTCTCTTCCGTGAAACAGCCCCCAGAAAGCTCAAAGGAGGCTCTGGAATGCTGTTCTCAGACTGCGTGCCCATGACAAAAGGGGCCTTGGAGCTATCCCGTTTGTTCTCTTGGAGAGGGTTCTGTGGCCAAATAAGTTTAGGAAATCCATTCCCAGGCATCCTTGTGGAGTTGCAGTGCATATTGGCATACGAAAGGCTACTAAAAGTTTTGTAGGAGGAAAGAGCTGAACTTTCCAGTATGTCCCAAATTTATTTGACCATGGAAGTCGTTTTCTGAGGAACCTTTGTGAACACGGTTTAGGGATGGCTGCCCTAGAACAATATACATGGGAAAACTTAGTGGGGAGCAGGTGAGGCTGGAGAGGAGCTGGAGTTAACAGCATCCCAAAGTTGGTCTGCTAAGGCCACGGGCAGAGCATCTGGCCTCAGATGGCAAGAACCACAGTGGGGGCTGAAGCAGGCTCCCTGGGGACCCTGACGCCTGTTCCACATCAGGAGCCCACTGGCTGCCTGGGACACCTCCCTTTTCCCCATGACCTGCTCCCCCATCCCTGCCTAGCCCTGGCAGGGGCTCATTCTCCCATATTGCCTCCTCTGTAGCTACAAAGCACCACCCACTCCCATCTCCCTGACCTTGTCCTTTCCCCCCAGGTATATTTCCTTCTGCTTTTTGGCTGCCACTCTCCCTTCAAGTGAGTCCCTGTCTTGCAGATTTCTGGGAGCCATGCCCAGCCCTAGACTCTCTTCTGAACCCCAGCAAGGCCAGATACCTAGGGGAAGCTTACAGATAGGGCCATATTGACCCCCAATCCCCTACTCAGAGATGGGTCTATGCCGCCTTTGCCTCTTCTTCCTTAGGAAATTAGGTCAGCCAGCCCATCACCATTGTCCCCTCAATAATAGGTCACTGTTCGCCATTAATCAGTAACTTCCTCAAGAGGTGAGTGTACTCTACCTCTTACTATTCTAGTGTATACCAACCATCAGTATTGAGCTTATAGGGGGTGGTGGCCATGGGCTCACAAAAGCCCTGTGGCCCCCAAGCTAGCCTGGAAGGTTGAGAGTGGTCAGTGAACAGATAGCAGGAGTTTCTCTGGGTCTTGATGGCATCTCCCTCAGGGGAGGCAGTAGGCTGGTGTCTGCAGTGGTGGCAGTGTATGCAGGTATGCCTGGCCGATGGGTGGTGGTGGACGGCTGGGAAGTGTGTCTGGAGAAAGTGGGGGGAGGTTATAAGAGAAGTTGATGCATGCTTATCTTGTTAAACAGGGTGGCTTGGAGGAGCAGGCTACCACCTTGTCAATAGATCCTTTTCTGATCCTTAGCCCTCGTCCCTGGTCAGCCCAGCCCAGGAAAATGGAGGTCATGGCTAAGGCTTCCCAACCAGCTCCAGTCAGGCTCAGCTCTTCTTCCTCAGCTCTCAGAAATTGATGCCCACTTGGGATGGGGACTAATGGGGGATAAGTAATTTTTCAAGCAGCAGCACCTTTGGGGTGGAGGATAAAGACCCAGGAAGTTGCCAAAATGACTCTTGGAATCCGCAAAGGAATGAGAAAAAGATAGGTTTGACTGTGTCCAATGTCTGAGAGTAGCCTGGCTCTTGGAGACAGGGAAAACCTGTGTGTGTGTGTGTGTGTGTGTGTGTGTGTGTGTGTGTGTGTGTGTGGTGTTAGAAAATGGGGGAGTGCAGGGGTACGAGGAGACTAAGGGGAAATTTATTCCCAGTGCTGACAGTCAGGGATGCTGTCCCATGGCTCTTGGAGACCAGCGATAACTAAGCACATCCCTGTGTCCCTGACCCCACACCCAGCCTGGGCTAACCTGAATGTATCCTCATGTTTTTCACGGCCACTGAGTTGCATCACTCAAGGTGGCGCCATGGACATGGTCTACAACACAAACATGCCCCTGGAGTTGTGCAATATGGTCCTAACCTTCCTGCCCTGGGAACGTGTGTTTCCCACTGGCTGAACAAAAGAAAAGGCAGTGGGGGATGGGTATAGTGTAGGGGTGGGGAGGACTGACTCCCTGTGCTGTTCTTTGGGTGCTGGCTCCTTCCAGGGGATTCCTGGACACTCCTGTTCTCTCCTTAGCCTTGTTTGTTGAGGATGAGCTACATCCAGGAGGCTGGGGCTTCCCTAGAGTAGGTTCTGGGGCTGGACCTACAGCCTCTTTGCCCTGCACCCAGGACCAGGCTGCAGGGTACAGACTACTTTAGCTTATCACCCAGGAGGGGAGTCTGAACTCAGCATGGGTAGCTGGCTGGTAGTGGGTGAGTTCCCACTCAAACGGGGGACTGACCTGGCACAGGAGCTCAGAGGACAGATCAGATTAGAAGGAGCGGCCTTCCCAGCCCTTCCGCCCAAGTCATGAGCTATGACTAAGGGAAGGTCTGTGCCCAGGGCTGGAGAAGAGCAGGGGTGAGAGAGGGGCAGAGAGGAGAGCCCATGGGCTGCATCTGGGGTGACAGAGAAATTGGGACTCTGCCTCCCCGTTTTCCCACCCCACCTCCCGGGCCTCAGTTTCTCCTTTTGGTAGCCTGGGGATAATGCCATGTGTGCTGCCCTCACCCAGGGGAAGGGGAGGATGAAGGATGAGGGTGTGCCCCGGGCACTGGAGGGAGGGAAGGGTCTCTGGTCTCATGAGGGGTGGGGTGGCGATGTGGAGAGGATGAGCAGGCACATGGGTTATGGGATGGGGGAATCACCTGAAAATGGGGTGGGGGGAGCAGAATGGGGGGTGAGCTGATGGGAAAGGGAGGCATGCCGCTGGTATGTGCACAGGGCTGGAAAGAGAGTCTTGTTCTGTCATCATCCCCTGAACCAGTCCCCAAGAGTCACGCACCAACCGTGCTCTACAAAAACACGGAGAGAAGAGGAGAAAGCAGCAAGAAGAAGTGCAGAGGCCGCTGTCTGGCCCAGACAGGAGACAGTCCCCTTGATTTGGACCCCCATTTTCAAATCCCCCTAAGTTTTCTTTTTTAAAACAAAATTCAGTATCAGTGACACTGTTTCTTTTGGCTCTGAATTCCAGAAAAACAGGAGGGACGGAGTGTGCCTGCTTTCCAACACCCCTGGCAGGGCTCTGAACCAATACACAACAACAAGTGTCAGAAAACCAGGAAGGAAAACTGATTTTTATAGAAACTGGAATGAAACTGACCAGTCTAGTTTCATTATCCAAGCTAAGCGGAAATGCAAAAAAATCAAAATAAAAAGTAAACAAACAGCACAAATGGTAAGACGTGAGTCCCGTTTCCTGAGTTCTCTCCTTTTTATTCCATTTAGGTGCCAACAGGAACCCCAAGAGGCCTGCCCCCCCTTCCCTCCCAGCTCACCCACCCCCAGAATGGCCTCTGGGCTCTGCCCGGCCCCCCTCCCTCCTGTCCTTCTCCAGCACAGCTCTGAGGACCTGCCCTCCTGGCCTCAATCCCCGCCAGGGATGCCCCTCTCCCCTGAGGGCTCAGGGAGTCAGGGAAGTGGGTTCCAGGGTGGGTTGAGATGGGGAGGTGGTGGTTCTGGGTACCAAGTTCAAGTGCTAAGCAGCGACCCCTAGTTGCCTTGGTGGGGAAGGGAAACAGGATACCATCTTCACAATGGCTCAGGCTCCTGCCCCCTAGTCTTCTCATATGTAGCTACAGGGTCCTTCCCAGAGGGGACTAAGGGTACGCCCTTGATGGCAGGGCCCTCTGGGAACCCATTAGCTCATCACTCTCATATCAACACTAACCCCTTCACTGGAGTCCTGGGCCCCATGGCCTTCCTCAGCTCTATCGTGGGGGGCTGAAACCTCCCCTGCCTGGAGCCAGGGCCGATTTCAGTGGCATTGCGAGATCCCTTCAAGGTTCCAGGGTCCAAGGTGCTGGGGAGGAGGAGAAGCCTGGTGTGTGTGTGTGTGTGTGTGTGTGTGTGTGTGTGTATTGGGAGGGACAAGAAGCGGGTGCAAGGCTGGGCCAACTCTGTGAGGTATTCCAGAACCCTTACGAGTTTCTGTGGGTCTATTCCAAAGAGTTCAGAGCATTATCAAGACTAGAATGTTCCCCAGGGTCTGTAGCACTAATGTAGCAGCCTCCTAGAGGCAGAAGGAGGGAAAGGATGAGGGGCCAAGTCTGGGCTGAGAACTTGCTGGGGGACCTGCTGTTGCTGTTGGGACATTTAGGATGGGGGAGCTGGGAAAGGGATGGCAGCAGGTAAAGGGTGGGACCGGGGAGGAAGCCAGCAAAGGAGGCCAGCTGGGGCAAGAGGCACAGATCCGCCTGGCAGTCCAGCCCCAGTTAGCCCAGCACTGAAGGGAGAGTGTGAAGGAGGCATAGCCCCTCGTTATCACGTTGTGTGGTGGGGTGGCCTTTACAAGTTCTGGCTAAGGCTGTAGTCAGAAGGGAGAGCAGGAGAGCCGAGGAGTGCTGAATCTGACCTTGTCTGTGGGGAGGGCAAACGCCTCCCTCTGAATCTCCATCAATACTCTGGTGGCCTTTGCCCAGGTGCCATGGGAATGGGGCAGCATTGGCACCTTGCCAGGCCCTAGGCTTGGGCTGCGTTGAAAACCCAAAGTTAGCCAGGCCTCCCTTCCACTCCTCAGGATCCAGCCAGAACCTGCGCTGGCTTCACCAAGTGCCCCCTCCCCCTCCTCGTTCACCCACCCGAGAATTTGTCAAGCGGGCATTGTGGGCCACGCTGCCCAGAAGATCTAGCTGGGTCTGACGAAGCCCTCCTTGATGACCATGCTCCCACCTGTCCTGTTTGCCAAGCGGAGCAGGTGGTTCTAAGCTCCTGGGAGGTTCTGCTGTGGCAGCCCTGCCTGGCTGGAGAGTAGGCGCTGGCCCTTGGGGAGGCAAAGAAGCCCCAACTTAAGCTTTTCCTCAACCCTGACCTCCCCCATTGGGCCACACCCAGAGTGGTGTCCCTGCTGGTGTCCTTTCGCCCCACAAAGCTGGGGATAGGAACTGAAGTAGCACAGGAAGCACCCGGAGCATATCTGGACACTGGGGTCCTGCTGGTTCTGAGGCGAGCACTGGGGGCAGAGCCCTCATCTCCCCTCAAAGCTCCAAGAGCAGACGCTCAGCTACCAAGGGCTCTGGGACTTGTGTTCTGTTTGACTCTGCCAGGCTCCTCACTTATAGGGAAGACACACCCTGGAAAATGTCCATCAGAACAAAGTTTGGGGAGTTGCTGTGAGCTTGAGGCGGGTGTGTGTGTGTGCACGTGCGGGAGAGAGAGAGAGAGAGAGAGAGAGAGAGAGAGAGAGAGAGAGAGAGAGAGAGAGAGAAACAAACCCAATGCCCAGGTCATAGACTGGCACCCCCATCTCTCTAAACGGTGTTGGTGAAAGGGTGGACATTGGGAGATGGGGTGGATAGGGGCCTGGAAAACTGGGACTATAGAAGCCCTGAGCCCTTGAGAGCTTACATCTTCCTATATTCCACGAAGTGGGGTGAACCTCCCTATCTCACCCCTTGTCAGTGGCTTGAAGCCTGCTTTTCCTAGAGCCCTCCGTTTCTGCCCCAGCCTCTCTCACCCTGCTCCTGCCCCCAGGCCCACCTCCCACTGGCCACTTACTTGCAGGAGAGCTGGTTGATGCCCTCGATGTAGTAGCAGACGCCTCCATTGACACAATAGGACTTGGCAGTCTCGTTGCACTTCCGGGCGTGTCCCGACCAGGATGACAGAGTGGTGCTCACTGGAAGTATGAGAGACATGGGCCAGTAACCCACTGAGACCATCTCTGGGCTCCAGGAATCAGCTCCTTCATGGCCCTTCAGGGCCCATCTCAAAGCTCGAAGATCAGAGGCTGCAGGGATGGCTGGGGAGGGACGGTCTGGTGGTCCCTCCCAGTCATCAACAAGGCAAAGGGGAAGCCACCGTGAGCTCTGACCATTTGCCCAGTACCACCTGCACCCTCGCTCTGGACAAACTTCCAAAGGCCAGGAAGATTTTCTGTGTTTGGAGAGGGTGAGAGGCTAGCACAAACTGCTCCCTCTACTGGAATGAGGCTCACCTCTCCCCTTCCCTGCCTGCCTTCTTGGGGGCTCCACTGCAGGTGGATGAGATGCCACATTTTACATGGGGAACAAAGTCACAGGGGTGCAGGGGGGGGGACACCCACATCCATCCACACTGCTGGAGCTCCCACAGCGGGCCTGGGGGTGGCTGGAAGGGAGCTGGGCTTTGAGGGGAATGGCACCTTTTGGACACTGTCATTTTCTAAGATCTAAGGAAATGTGGGGAGAACCCTAGCTTCCATCTCTTCCCCCTTTGTGTGTGTGTGGGGGAGGGGGAGTCAAGCCTCCCAGGAATGCTACAAAGGCCACTAAGCCTATCTCCATAGGCATCCAGGGTCTTCATGTCTGCCCTCTCTAGGCAGCCCCCTCAATCCCCCACCTAGTTAGCTGTTACCTCTGTAGGGAACCTCCAGGCCTTGGACAGACCAGGCTATAATCCCTGGGCTTCGGGTTGCTGGAGAGGGAACAGGCTGGGGGACAGCTGGGATGTAAAAACTAGGTGACAGCAAGATTGGGCTTTAAGGCTGCTAACCGGGACTGCACATCTGATCGATCACCTTCATTTGGTAAGTGAAAACAACTAAAGCTCTGCTCCCCCATGGGTTGGCATCCAGAAAAGCTGGCTTCAAGTGAAAATTCTTGCCTTAAATGTTAGTTTTCATGTGTAAGCTAACCCCCTAGGCTGTGTATCCAGATTGGGCAGCCAGAAAGGGGTTCCTGCTCCCCTCTCAGCCTCTGGGGCTCTAAGGCTCTCACTCCCACTTAGCAGCGGCCTCCTGACTGAGGTGATCCATCCTACCTGGGCTGGTCCTGTCTCCTCAGGGGTATTGAGTCTTTACCACCCGCAGCAAAAATTGGGGGTGAGAGGAGGAGGAGGAGGGCAGGCACTCGGCGCCCTCAGTGTTTAGACATGTGTGGAGACAGATGGAGCGTGGGGACTGGGAGTGTATACACAGCTCTGCCTCTGTATATGTCTGAGGAGCATGCTGATAAAACTCAGCGGGCAGGGCCAGCTCCCACCTTCCCCTCCACATCATGCCTGCTGCTGGCCTGGCATCCTTGAACCCTATCCCCGCTGAGGTCTCCTGCCTACACGCAACCCCACACCCAGCTGGGACCCACACGCTGTCTGGGAGAGGGGGCCTCCTGATGGTCTCCGTCCCACTTGTGGGTCAGTGAGACCCAGGGAACTAAGAAAGGGGCAGAGAAGAGAAACAGTCGAGGTGACCACGCCTGTGAGTTATAAAACCCCACTGCTGGGAGGACCCTAGAGGTTGTCCTGCCCTTTGGTTACACTGCCAAGGGGGAGTGAGGAAAGAGACCTGGGAGTGCCTTTCCAGAGTCACGATGTGTGTTGTGATGAGGCCTCAGAACTCCTGATGCCTGGCTGAGCACTCTTGCCAGCCACCCAGTCCCTTGTGGAAGAACACGTCAACACCAAGGCTTGACATAGCAGATGAATGTGAACCTGATGTGGAGCCTTGGCTAAGCCAGAGAAATCTTGGCCTGGACCTGCCAGGCCCAGCTTGGCTTCCACTGCAGTCATGGGTGGCAAAGCCTGCCCACTGCAGTGTGAAGTGAGCAGCAGACAGCAGCGAGGGTGGTGGCAGGGAGCACAGCTGCAAATTTGGGCCTGTACCCATGCGTGTCTGTGCTCATCGAGGCCTTGGGAGGCAGAAGACAGCTCCTGGAGGAACACAGGGCCACAGCTGGGATGCACTGGCTTGGGCTGCCAGAACTGTGTTGTCATGGGGACTAGGGGCCCCATGAAAGGCAAAAAGGGAAGCCAGTGGGGGAGCCAGTCACAGAGGGTGTGGGAGGAAATGGCCACAGGCCTTTCCACCTCAGAAAGAAGTACCTTAGGCCACCCCCTGCGATAGCAGGGCCTTCCCAAGTCACTACAGCCTAACTCTGCTGGTGGCGAAGGCTCACATCAGGGAGATCTCCACACTGAAGGTGTATATTCACACTGTTCTAGCACAAGTGGGCTCCCAGGCAACACATCTCCACCACCTCGTCAGCATATCCATGTTTCCTCACTGTGTTCTCCCGGGTTTGGGGAAGTGAAGATGACATTTGGACTCCAAGTCGGAGAGTCTGGCTGCTCCCTTGATACCTCCACTGCGATGGCTCCTTGCAAACCCCAACTCAGCTGCCTATCACCTGCCCAGCCACGTGCTCCTCTAGTCGTGGTCACCAGTGACTGCACGCCACAAATCTAAGACCTAGAGGGCATCTTTGAGTCTCGTCCTCCTTTGTTCACCCAGCCATCTGTCACAGAGGGCTGCCTTTCTATCTCTTCTGTCCATGTCTCACTCTCGCCTGCCCAGCCCAGGCCGCCATGGTCTCTTTTGTGCATGACCACAATCGCCTCCTCACTGGTTTTTCTGCCCTCACTCTTTCCTTTATCTCTAACCTTTTTGCTGCACAGCTGCCAAAGTGGTCTTTAAAATATATAAATTGATTAATCACTTCCATTACCAAAACCCGCCAATGGCTTCGATTTGCACTCAGAATAGAGTCTCCCAACTTTTCCCAGGTCTAATCTGGGCCTCCCCACCTCTCCCGCTTCGTGTCCTGTCCCTCTCTTGCAGTAAATTCAGACTACACTGGCTTAGTCCAGCTCGTCTAACAAGCCAGGTAGCTTCCTGTCCAGGACTTTCCAAATATCAGTGTTCCAGAGAGGCTGTTCAAGCTCTTCCTTACTCCTCTTAGCTTCACATACGTGTACTTATAGTACTTATTCTAACATAATTAAATGGCTACTTGTGCAATTACTAGCTGTTTAAAGCTTAGCTCCTCCTCTAGAATGTAAGCCCCATTTGGGCAGGAGCCGTGTCTATCTTGTTCACCCCTGACCTTGGCTGATGGTGATATCTTTTCTAAAGATTAATGCATTATCTCTTATTAAATGCAGATATTCCTGGAGGTCACTAGGAAAATGAAAATTAAAACCACAGTGAGATATCACTTCATACCCACTCAGAAGGCTATAATAAAAAAGATGGATAGTAAAAAAAGTGGTGGTGAAGATGAGGAGAAATTGGAACCGTCATACATTGCTGGTGGGAATGTAAAATGACACAGACACTTTGGAACAGAGTCTGGAGGTTCCTTGAAACATAGAGTAACCATGGGGCCCAGCAATTCCTCTCCTTGGTATAGACCCAAGAGAACTGAAAACATGTTCTCACAAAAACTTGTACATGAATGACATAACAGCATTATTCATAACAGCCCAAATGTGGAAACAACTCAGGTGACCCAACAACCCAAACTGCTGAATGGATAAACAAAATGTGGCATATCCATAGCATGGAATATTGTTCAGCTATAAAAAGGAATGAAATACTGATACATGCTACAACATGGGTGAAAGAACCTAGAAACATTATATTAAGTGGAAGAAACTAGTCACAAAAGGCCACATATTGTATGATTCTATTTATATAAAATATCAAGAATAGGTAAATCTCGGGAGTGGGGTGGTGGATTGGGGGAGGGGAGTTGTCACTTTGAGGGGTAAAAAGTATAACTATTGCACTGTGTTGTACACCTAAAACTAATTAAAAAAAAGATATTTCTATAGAACTGTAAAAAAAAAAAGAAAAAAGTATAGATAAATCTATAGAGGCAGAAAGTAGATTAGTGGTTGCCAAGGGCTAGGGGGAGGAAGAAACGGGGAATGACTGCTAATGGGTATGGGGTTTCTTTCTGAGGTGATGAAAATGTTTGAGAATTATTGGTGAAGGTTATCCAACTTTGTGAATATACTAAAACCTACTGAGTTATATACTTTTAAAAGGGTGAGTTTTTATGGCATGTAAATGAGACCTCAAAAAATTGATTTAAAAAATGCCTAAGCAGGGTAAACCCAGGAAGCCTTCATCAGCCATTATTGTCTTGGTGTGAGTGAGTTTATCAAGGCCCTGAAGAGAGAACAGGCCAGGAGAGGGGCGGGTGCTGCTGAGATGCTCTCCCTGCTGCCAGCTGCTGCGACTGCTTTTCTCCTTTGCTCATGGAGAAACCTTTGCTTATCTTACAAGGCCCAGATCAAGTGTCTCTTCATCCGCCAAGTCTCCCCTCCCACCTGCCCAAATGCCCCCTTTCCCATTGGTAAAGTTGCCTATCCTTCCTCTTCAATGTGTTAGAACAGGCAGATGCTTTGAGTTCAGGTTTTATCTTCTGGAAGCACAGACAGTGACTCCGCAGAGCTCAGAACAGGGTCTTGCTGAGTATAGCCTTGCTGCATACGTGAGTGAAAACACATGCGTGTGTGTGCATGCATATGTGTGTGCCTGTGTGTGTGTGTGTGATTAAACAGCTAGCCTTTTTAAGGTAAGGGACAGCCCCAGAAGCCTCTCCAGGGCTTCCATGGTCCTGTGACATCCCAGATCAAACCTGCCTGCCCTCTGGGTAAAACCAGGCCCAGCCCGACATCCTCAAACTGGTACAGCCACCGGGGACATTTCTAAGTTCTCTTCCACCTGGGATGAGGCAGCTAGTTTCTCTAACTCAAAAGTGGGTTGGGCCAAGTGGATTGTTTTGTTAAAAGCACCACAAACTTCTTGCCGACTCATCCCCATCCCAGCCAACTCAGGAATGCAGCCTCTTGTGAGCTGGCAGAGCTGTGACTGCAAGAAGGCTGTGCTGTGATTTGGGGAAAGAGAATCGAGCTTCACCGGAACAGAGCTATGGAAGGCAGCCAAGAAAGAGCCACCGCTGTGTCCCTTGAGCGGCCACTGTGTGGCCTCCCACACCAGTAGCCCTGGCTTCCCTGGGGCCCAGGTCGGCCAAGCCAACCCACCTTGGGATGAATCAGAGGCGGGCAGGCACAGCTGCCCACTACTGGCCTTCCATCTCCCTCCCTGGCGTGCGGGAGCTGCAGGTATTCTGGGTTCCACGGGGAAACAGGGAGCCTGGGCATCTACCTCTGCCTGGGAAAATGTCCCCTGCAATGGCCCTGTTCACCTCCCCACATCAAGGGTAGGCTCTGGCTTGCCATGGACTAAACAGGGCAACAGAAGAGGTGTGGTATGGTGTGATGTGGTGGTGTGGTGGTGGTGGTGGTGTGTGTGTGCGCGCGCATGTGGTGGTAGAGGTTAGGTGCACAGGATGTCAGCCTCAACATCAAACTCAGAATCGCAGAGGTTTCTCCATGAGCAGAATGGAAGGGGCTTAGAGATCATCTAGCTTCAGACAGGAAAACCTCAGGCTAAGGAGGTGGAGTAACTCGCCCAGGGTTGCACCACAGAGCTGGGACACAGGCTCTGGACTCTTTCCACCACTCTGCCCTGCCACTCTTTTGCCAGGCTGGAGGGACGAAAGGCAAGGAGCCCTGTGGGAAGCTCTCAGGACCAGCCCAAAGCTCCACTGTCTGGTTCCCTAACTGATCAGAATGTGAGTGGCTAAGGGCTGATAGGAGCCTATGTGTGGGGTGGCTTGCAGCTTCTCTGCGGGGTCTCACAACAGCTCCCAGCCTCAGGGCCCAAGCCCTGTAACAGCGAGAGGGCACTACTGTGGTTTTCCGCATGGCAGCCCTTCCCTCATCCTCTGCTAACAGTGTGCCTCTGGGGAAGTGCCCTCACCCCATAGTTCTGGCAGGGCCACACTCACAATACTCTGCTTCTCAATACCCTCTCTGCACACTCACAGGCCTGGCAAGGATGGCATCCCATCCTCCTGAGCACAGTGGCTAGGCCGAGTGGGGCACATCACCCAAGCAGGGGCAGTTGGAATCCATCCTTGTGATTGTATGAATGGACACAGAAACAAAGCTATCTCTTTGGGTGGTGAGCTGGGATGGTATAAACCTGGACCTGTCTGAGGCCATGGCCTCCTCTTCCCAATCCATCCCCCAAACACGGGAGAAGCCTGTTTTCCAGTAGGAGAGAATGAGGCCAACACACAGTCGGAGAGGGCACCCTCAGCCCTGCTCTGAATTCTTGGACTGTCATGGCTAGGGCCAGTTCTACCTCTGGACGTCTCGGTTTTATAAACCAATAAGTACATTCCTTCAGGTAGTTTTAAATTGTGTTCTTGTCAGTTCTAATCAAGAAAGTCTTGAATAATAAAACAGGAGACCTCAAATCCAAAGTGGACCTGAGAATGTCTGCCTACTCTGGCTGAGGTAGCAGGTGCTAGACTCCCGGTGGGCCCATTTTCCCAAGTTTGGGGCAGGTTGGGAGGAGCAGGGGGCCCACGTACCTCGACAGCAACCATGCCCAGCCTGAGGCATGTGGGAGTCAGTTAAAGGCCTTGGAGCAGGTTCTAAGTCCTATTATACAATATTTCCCAGGTGCCTGCTATGAGCTAGGCAGTATGCTAGGCCCTGAGGCCAGAGTGGTAAACAGGCCCCATACAGCACATGGTCTCATGTTTGCCAAGTATTCTTATGTTGTATAGCTCTATCAGTAACACGCTGTTTGACTTTGGGCAGAATATTTAACCTCTCTGAGCTTCAGTCTCATAATCTATAAAATACATCGTGGCCTTGAGTAAGGGCTCAAGAGGTAATGGGGAGCCTGGTGCAGGGCACACTGTTAGTAATAGTAGCCATTATTATAACTTCTGGGGAGAGGGCATCGTCCCACTTTCCCCACTCCTGGCCTCATAGTTCCACAGGTCACACCGCAGAGAAAGCTCAACAATGGCATGAGAGTTGAAGAATCACCGAAGGCTAGAATTTAAAAGATATACACGATCATGGCCCAGGATATACAAGAAGTGGCCCAGGAATGAGGCCCGAGCTGGGCAAGGCACTGCAGCAAGTTGGAGTGATCAAGGACGAAGGCTGCTTAGGCAAGATGGCATGAAAGGAAGAATATGCATGGGATATAACGGCTGGCTGCAGTCATTTGGACCTTTCCTCGAGAGCTGGGCTGTGGGTTAAAGTCTTTGTTCTGTGGTTTCTTGGAATGGACACATGGCAGGGTGAAAGTGTCTTAAAAGGCCTTTGCTCTGGTTCAGGTAAGTAGGGATGAAACCTGGGCCAAGGTTGCTCCTGAGGTGGGGTTGGAATGAAATAATGGAAAGGACGGGTGTGAGAAAGATCCAGAAAGAAGCCTGACCAGGACCTATCAGATACTGTGGACGGGGAGACAAGAGGACCCTGAGAGGCTGGGAGAGCAGGGGATTCCTTACAATACAGGACAGACAGGGTCTCAGCTGGGTTTTCCGGGGCTCAGGACAGCAGATGTTCCACGTTCTCCTTAAACAATGCTGGGTTTAGAGAGGTCTAGAAGGCTGTATGGTGGAAATACAGGTGGGCAAGGGCAAATACAGGATTCGACTCTGTGATGGGGCAGGACTTGGAAGTGAACCCAAATAACCAAGGAGCCAAACGGTATGCTCAGTCTGTGGGTGTCAGCAGGAGGGAAGAGATCTGTGGGGTTTGCTAGAGTAGAGAGGTACAGCCTGAGGACAGGCAGTTCTGCTGACTCCCCAGGCAAGAGAAACAACCAGGGCCAGAGAGGACGGCCCAGCAGGAGGCAGCCTCCAAGCTGGCGCTGCCCCCGTGGGGAGGGAACGCTAAGGGTGCCTGGAGTTGCTGACCTCACGAGTTTTCAAGGGAAAGGACAACAACGTGTGAGGGGAAGAGGCCTGCCATCCCTAAACAGAGGCTGTCCCCAGGGTCAAAGGCACCAGAGCCTCCCCCATGGCCCTGTGGAGACAGCTGCCTGCACTGGAGTGCCCAGCAAAGCAACAGGCAAGAGGCAGTCAGCTTGCACACACATCCCGGGCCTGTCTCTCCCCGGAGCCCAGCTCCTGGCAGCGCAGCCTCCCATAATTGCCTTCTAAAAATATCCTCCCCCCCACCCACCTCTTGATTTCAAAATATTTAGTTTTTAGGGTATTTAAAATGAGAGCTGGCGGCTCTTCCAGGCCCAGATAACAAAGCTAAACATTTATGCTTCAACTGCATTTCTCTGAATCGGCCCAGATCTCGGGGCTTGATATGGCAGCAGCAGGAGGGAGGAGAGTCAAGTGCAAGATGGATCATGTGCCGGCCTCCCCAGGGCTGGGGGCAACTGGCCCGCCCCGCTGAACCACTGTAGGACCCCTCCCTTTGTTGGGGGACCACCTACCACTGTTGACGTTGAGCCGGCCTCGGGCTGTGTCCTTCCCCAGTATGTTCTCAGCCTCGCAGACATACTCCCCAGCGTCCTCCACCTTCACCTTGTTGAACTGTAGTCGTGAGTTCTTTCTGGTTAGGGAGGGAATAAGAGGGGGAGAGGCGTGAGCCAGGGCCCAGGCCAGCTGTGGCTCCCAGCCGTCACGTCCCCCAGCAGTCATCTCTCCCTGCAGAGCCACAGTGGCTGTGCAGGGTGGACAGGAAGTAGAGTCTGGGGTCCAGGTGGAACACCGAGTCCCTGGAGCTGGAGGGGGACCTGGGCACTGAGGAGAACACAGGGCGGGGCTAGGGGCTACACACATGTTCTAAATCTAGGAAACCTCACATCTACTTTTCCAGGGCTGGGCCTTATTTGTAGCTGTTTTTCTGGGGGAGGAAAGCAGGGTCCCTTAGGAAGTCACATGGCCACCTCCCTCCTCTTCTTTCAGTGCCCCTCCCCCAGTCCCAGTGTCCTTCCCCACACTCCCAACAGGTCAGCCACTGGCTCACCAGCTACCTCAGCCTTCTCTTAGAAGTTTATTGAGATGATTTCTGGAAAAATATCTCACTAATATAGATTTAAGAATCTGAAGGTTTTAAAACTATTTTCAATAGTGTGTGTGTTACATGTGGGGAAGAGCCATGGTAACTGTAACTAGTCTGGACTCTTTAACTGGATATTCAGGTTAAAGTCTTAAACAGGGATTTGATGCATTAATTATTTTAAATTAAGATGTATATGAAAATCACTTTATTTTACATAGTTCATGGTTTTTTTTTTATAAGCTATTAGCTTCGCTTTTGCTAACATGCAAGGTGCATACTGTTATCCAGGTCGATGACCTTATATCCCACTTTCCCCTGTTGTGATGACACAACAATACTCTCCTCTTTGCAGGGAAACACTTTCATAGACAATGTGTAAGAACTACATAAAATACCCTACATTTCTTTTTTTGTTTTCTTTTTAAAGATTTTTATTGGGGAATTGGGGGATGGGAACAGCGCTGGGGAATTGGGGGAAGGGGAACAGACAAGTTGCTGTCGTTTTGTTCTTCAGTCTAGTTGTGGAGGACGTTGCTTCACTGGCCCAAGTTGGCACCATCATTGCGCTCTTCCCGGGCGAGGCAGATCAGTAGCCGGCTTCTGGACGGCTGCTCATGGCGGCTGCTTGGCCGCTCACGCTGGCTGCTAGCTACACACGGTAGCCCATGGCAACCCACTGCAGCAGGGGCTGCAGCCTATGCCGATGCCAGCGACTCATGGCAGCCCAGCTCCAGGTTGAGCTGTTGTTCAGCATCTTAGCTGTAGAGGGCAGTGTCACTGACCCTCATATGTGGGAGCCGAACCGGGGCCCTCTGGCGTCCCAAGCCAGCTCTTAACCACCGCGCCACTCGGCTGGCCCTACCCTACATTTCTTAAGAAAGAAAAGAAAAAAAAAGTGGCAGCCTGTCACTCTAGATAAGCAAGGCGTATTCTCAGGTACCTGGGAGGGCCTAGTGTAACAGGTTCCCATGGCAACTGTCCCCTGCCTCCCAGTCCCAATCTGTGGCTTTCCCCTGACTTCACATTAGCTCTCTGTGGCTTCTTCAAAGGGCTTTCACTTCATTCATTCATTCATTCAGTAAATGTTTACTAGGCGCCTTCTGAGTGCTGGGAGCTTGGATACCTCAGGGAACAAAAAGATCCAATTCTTGTGCCCTGACTTGACCTTCACAGCTAATCTGGAGATGGACAGAACAGTACAGACGGGAAAACAGTTCTAGATGGGCTTTTGAACTTGTCCAAGGGTACTAGCAAGGCAAAGGCAGAGGTGAACAAGGAAGAACTAAAGTTGGTGAGGTCATAGGCCCTTCAGCAGCTCATGGACTGTCTCCCGGAGCCTGACTCTGGGGCTAGCCCCCTCTGTGGAGGGCTCTGCACCCAGTGCCTGCATGCCAAGAGCTGTGGGGCCAGGCCTGGGCAGGGACTCCAGTGCTGTGTGTGACTCCAGGTCACCTGGCCTTGGTTCTCTTTTCTGAAGACCCTGCCAAACCTCTCTTTCCTTTCCAGAGTCTCCCTGCACCTGGTCCAGGGTGCCTGGCTCTATAGGGTCTGGTCACACATCCCACTGCTCACTCTGCCTCAGTATTCTCCAGGGGCCGGTCAGAGCTCTGGATAAAGCCAGGGGATCCTAGGCTGGTCCCCAGGGGGGAACAAGAAGTTGCACGAAAATTTCATTCTATGATGTAATCTCCTCCTCTTTTTAGTACTGAATTAAAACACCAGATTCCCAGAATATGTGCAGTGGGTTGGAGGGGAGGTGGAACAGGAGGTAGGGTAGCACAGCTCCCACTGCTCTGAGCCCAGAGATACAGAATAGAGCCAGGAAGCCGATGGGGGAAGGAGGACAGGGGAGGTGAGCAGACATGCTGGGCACAGGGCGGAGGGGATGGCAAGCTGAACCACATCTGTACCGGGGCTGTGCTTTGGGCCCCTGTCTCCTGGGCTCCACCTCTGACTCTAGGAGTGGACCTCTTCCCAGACCTCCTCATGCCAAGATTGCCTGAACAAGGGTCCATGAGGCTGTCTTGTCAGTAGGCCCTGTTGCTGTGGCGATGTCCTTGCGGATGCTATGGTGACAGCTGCCTGACTCCTCCCCCACCCCCATCCTTCCCGGCTCAAGCTGGTCTGTGTCTCCTTGGCCTGGTGTCTGCCTGTAACCCTCTTCTGTCAGTTCAAGTTTGTTCCCTTCATTAAACAGAACCTCGGAGGCCCCTCTGGCTAAGACAGCATCTCCTTCCTGGCTCCAGCCTAATCAGATGCCACAAAACCCAGCTGCCCCAGAACTAGGCTCCTCTTGCTTCCTGGCCACCAGTTCTTCCCTGACACTAGACAGGCAGAATAGGGGGTCACCCGAGGGTCACGGGGTCAAGGGAGAGGGGACACAGAGCAAGAACCTCCTTGTCACTCATAGCTGAATTCAAAGGATCTTCCCTTACATGACATCATACGAGTATGTAGCAGGACCAGGCAGAGCTATGTCCACAGATCTCTAGAGGATAAAAGCTAGAACTGGAAGGAAGGCTTCCCCCGTGAAAGCGTGTGAGGCTTGGGGAAAGGAGGCACAGAGCTCAGCGAGAGCCCCTCCTCTTTGAGGAACCAGAAAGAGGCAAGGGGACAGAAACAATGACCCCTACCTGTACCAGCTGTGTAATGATAGTGCCAGTTCTAGCGGGGTGGGCCCCAGACTGGCCTAAGAGGCCCTGGGGTCGGAGCTGAAGGGTGGGGCTCTATGGGTCTCTCTGGCCTGAAGGAGCGGAGGGGGATTGGGACAACACACACACTACACCTCCTGGCAGGCTGGGTGCCCCCTCGCCATGCTGACCCAGGCCTGCCCTTGCAATGGATGCCCCGCCCATGGGTGCCCCTCCCCTCCTTCCTCAGCCAGTTTTCTGCTGGCAGGGACGGGATCTGGGCGGCCACGTCCTCCACTCGTCCTCACATTTTCCTCAGTGCCTACCTCCCTCTGCCTGAGGGGCCTGTTCCAGCCTGCCCCTCATAAATAAGGGAACACGCGGTCCTGCTGGGGAGGGCCCTGTGCCCAGGGCTTGGGGGGCCAGTTTTCTTCTGGCACGGGTAGGCTTGGGTGAGACACCTTGGGCAGCGGATCCTGAGACAGACAGCACCTGCCGGGAGGGGGGTCTCTGCAGGCCAAGAACAATGTCAGGACAGAGTGTGGCCTGGGCAGAAGACACGCTAGGAGGGCCAGAGAGCAAGCTGCACTGAGGGCAGAAGGAAGGAGGGTGCTGCCAGGAAGGAGACCCCTGCCCCGCCCTGGCTCCCATGCCAGGTGAAGCGTGTGTGGAGGTGGCAGCTCTCTCTGAGTCACAACAGGGGAATCGGCAGTTCTATATCATGGTCTACCCCTCCACCCCATTCACTCACTGCTGGGAGCCTAGAGGCAGGATGGGTGGAGCAAGGACGTTTCAGAGAGGCAGCAGGTAGGACAGGGCCCTGACAGGAAGGGGACAGAGGCACATTTCAGGCTTTTAGAGGTTCCTGATACTCAGGAGGGGAAGACCTGACCAGGCCCCATTTCTGAACTGGGTGGCCCATTTGTCAGATGAAACTGAGGCTTGCCAGGACACTAAATTGCTCAAAAGCTAGGTCAACCCAAAGAGCGACCTGCCCAGCCCTAGTGTCACCCTGTAACCAGGAGAGGAACCCTGCAAGATTCTCATGAATTCAACACGAATGTGGATCTCCTCTGCTAGGACATACAGGGGAGAGGCCGTGTGGGTGAGGGGCAGACTTTGAGGCTCTCTCATGCTAGGAAGAGAGACAGCCCCTGCAACAATGCAATGGAACTGTATCTAAGGCACCATGACAGGAGACGAGGAGAGCTCAGGAAGGTGTCCTGGACGATATGACATCTAAGCTGGGCCTTGGAGAACTTTTTCGGGATAGTGTGTGTGTGTGTGTGTGTGTGTGTGTGTGTGTGTGTGTGTGTGTGTGTGTGTGTGAGGCTGCTGCCAGCACAGGGAACAGCCTGGGCCAAAGTCCAGGGTCATTAAAGAAAAGAGCAGGATCAGGATCACAGAGGTGTTTGGGAACAGTGGGGCAGTGACTTAGAGGCCAGGAGGAGGAGAGCCAGAAGGGCCCCAAGGCCTGGTCTGTATGTACCTGGCACTCAGCAGGCTCTCAAGACCTGTCAAGTAAATGAATTTCCATTCATTTATGTGCCCATGTTAGAAAGATCATCATCCCCTGTCAGAGTCACAGGAAACAATGACTCTGCAGACCTCTAGAATTGTAGGCAAAACTGGATGGATGAGACACATTTCTTTCTGAAGAAAGGGTCAAGGCTTTTACCAGATTCTACACTTGCGCCCATACTCTCTGTCACAGGTGTGGAGACTAAGGTCTAGGGGCAGACTATGTACCTCCAGGGCCACACAGCCAATCAAGAGCAGCCTGAATCCAGGCCTCTTTCCATCACTTTCTGTTGTGTGGCAGGCTGGGGGGGCCTCTAAAATCATCTTCATTTGCATTTGGGGGGGATGAGGAGTTAAATGATAGCCATGAAGGTGGTTGTAAGCGACTCTGGAGGGGCAGGAAAGACGGGTGCCCCTCAGCCAGAGAGGGAAGTCCACTTGACCCTGAGGGCCGACAGAACCTGGTCAGGCAGAACTTCTGTTTAGCAGGCAGGCAGGGGCCTCCCCTCTTGTTTGTTCTGCCTTCTGACAGACCCTCAGGGGCTGTGAGAGGCAGGAAGGAGGGAGGTGAGGGGTTGGCCTTGGACTCCTGCTTCTCTGGTGCCTGGAGCCCCCTGCTGGACCAACCCAAGATGGAAGAGAGGCCATCCATCTTCCACAGCTGGAGGCTTCAGAGCTTGTGATTCACTTCCCTTGAGCCCGGGCTCTAAGATTAAAGGTATATTCCAGGGGGAAAATGTCTGAGCCACAGACTCCCCGACACCAGTTCTTTCCCCTTACCTAGCTCTCTGCCCAATAATGCTTGCTGAGCTGAGAAACCAGCCCATCATCACCTCCCAGCATCCTACAATCAGAGTTTTTCATCAAAGATTGACAAATGGTAGGCTTTCAGACACTGCAGCAGGACCTTTGAGAAGTTTTAGGGACTAGTAAAGCTGACTTTGACAATGAAATTACCTTCAACCATTCAGAGACATTAATTAAGCATCTACAGTATGAAGACACCGGGCCAACATAACCAGAGGGGCCCAGAGCTACAAGGAGAGATTGGGTGCGGCAAGAAAGGGGGACCGGAACCTGATCCACAGGTGGATCTGGGGACAAAGCCCTGGGTTCTGCCTGCTCAGGCCCTTGTTTCTCAAGAGGGGTGATGCCGGGAGGGAGAGAGGGCTGTTGCTCACCTGCCGTTGCCGTACTTGATGCGAATGTCACGACTGCGGTTTAGCTCCTTGCCATCCTTAAACCAGCGGTAGGAGGGCTGGGGGTTACCGGCCACTGCCTCGCACTTCAGCGATTGCTTCTCCCCCACCTGTCCCGTCTGACTCTTCATCTTCTTCAGCTTGGGTCGGGTGGCTGTGGAGGAACAAGGCAGGGAGGTGAGCATGGTGGGGGCGGGGCAGTATCAAGCATGAGCAGTGGAGGAAGGACCTGGGAAGCCCCCCCATATCATTTCCTAGTTCAATTCAACAAGCATTCACAGAGGGTCTACAATGATATCAGTGTGGCTGTTACCTGTGGAGAGTTTCCTTCATGCCTGGAATGATACTAGGAGCTTTACATATATTAGCTTATGAAAATAACCCCATAAGTTCACTACAATGATTAAACCCATTTACAGAGGGAGGAAACTGAGGCTCAGGATGGTGAAGTCACGTCTCCAAGGTGATGAAACTGGGATTCAAACCCAGGTCTCCTTGACTTCAGAGTTCATGCTCTAACTCCTGTCCCAGACCCCCAGGCCTATGCTGGGCCCAGAGGACCCAGGACCAAAATGACAGATATGCATGGTTCACGGAGGCCTAGGGATGCTGAAGCCCAGAGGAACAAAGCCAACCCAGGTTGGGGGAGGAGCTAACTCAGCTAAGAGCTGAGGAGTGGGGCTAGAAAGAGAAGGGAGGGAGTGGGTCAGGCAGGGTCAGTGTTGTGACTTGGGAGAATCTCACGTGGTTGGGTGGGGCGGGCTGACTTGAATGGATGAAGTGGAGTGGCTGTGTGAGGGACAAGGCATGGGGCTACACGGATGGGCACAGGCCCAGCCACGGATGCAGGGCTGCAGATACCAAGCTGGGAGGCTACTCCCATGTTTCTTAAACACCGTTCTATTTACACATGTCCCAGTCTCCCATACTTCATCTCCTTGCTCCCCTCCCGCCAGCAACCTTAAAAAAAAGGAAGAAAAGGTACTCTGTTCTTAGGAAGGTAAGGGCAAGCCCATGTCCCCTGCTAAGGTACATAATAATTTCCACTGGGACAGCCCTTTACAGAATATGCAATGCCTTCATTCACGCTCTCATTGGCTCCCTGAACTCTGTAAGATCAGAGTTATTACTAACACAGATGATGAAGATAAGCCTCAGAGAGGTTAAGAAACTTGGCCAAGATCACACGGAGCTGGGACCAAAGCCCAGGTACCTGGATTTGCAATGCTTTTGCAGCCTTGTCTCCCTTTTAGGAATGGAGACCCTTGTTTTTATCCTTCGAACAGCAGAAGAGAGGGTCTGCTGGGTTCAGGGAGTTGTCTGGGGGACTGATTGGCCCCCTCAGGCCTGAGTTAGCTCTACATAAAGGCAGGTGACAGGGCCTGGTTATAGATAAGGGCCCCTCATTGGACCTAACCTGAGCTGCTGCTTGTAAGTAGGGAGTAAATGGGAGTGGGGTGAAGGGACTGAAGGAGCATAAAGAGAAAGGGCTCCCAAAGCCTTAAAAAATGTATGATATACTAAAAAAAAAAAAAAGGTGCTTGTGAAATGATTTTGTTCATTTTTGAAAAATACAGATGGGTGAAAGAAAACAAAATCATCCATTATCCTAGTACTCAGAAGTAACACGTACACATACACACACACTTTTAGATGAAATGAAATCATTGTCAGTAACATGTTTCTTTCATTTAATGAAACATGTAAGCCTTTCACCTTGGTATTAAATATTAATAATAGCATTTCTCAAACTGAATTCTATAGGGCATGAATGCCTAGAGAGATGATAATAGACATTACTTGAGAAAAGGGTTCCATGAGCAAATCAGTTTATGGACTATATGGGTAAACACAGTTAAAGAAGTACCTTCATTGACTTCAATATGATTCTCCAAGTAAGGGTCTCGGAACTTTTATTCTTAGAATCCTCACTAGCATTTCAAGGAAATAAAGTTATGTGGAACAAGTTCTATTACATAACTTACATGTGTATATATTTATAGATATATACCTATTTTAATAGATAATATATCCACATGACTCAAAATTCAAGAAGTGAAAAGGGTATATGACTTAAAAAATAGGTCTCCCTCTAACTTCTGACCACGGCCACACAGTTGCCTTTCCAAGAGGCAACCAATTTTATCAGTTTCTTTTATATCCTTTCAGAGATCTTTTATGCTTATACAAAAAACCCTAGTATTCACACACTCTTTTTTTCCTATAGCATCATTTTTCATGGTTGTATAATATTCCTATACGGGTATATCACAATTTATGTGACCAATTCCGATCATGGGGCATTCAGCATGTCTTCTCTGCTTCCTCCCTTCTCCATTACAAACAAGCCCCGAGGAACATCCTTGCAACTTCATTCAGTGTATACATTAAACATCCTTTGCACACATCCAGTGTACACTGCTGTACAGACAGCGTGACTCTTCACTCAGACTGCCTGGTTCAAATCCAGTCTTTTGCTACCTGTTAGCTTCGTGTCCTCATTGACTTAATCCTTTTGCACCTCAGTTTCCTCATCTGTAAAATACAGATGATAACAGACAGCTCCTCCCTCGTGAGATGATGGGTGTGAGGATTATATGACACAAGGCATGTAGAACCTGGCACTCACAGAGCACTTAATAAGGGTTAGCTGTTATTGTTATTATCTGCAATTATTTCCTAAGGCAATCTTCCTGAAAGTGGAATTGCTACGTCAAAAGGATTTGCAATCTTTCTCAGCTTTACGCACGTTGCCAAATTACCTTCTGGAAAGGTTGCATCAATCTGCACTCCCACCAGTGAATGACAGTGCCTGTTTTTCCACACCCTCACCAACAGAGGTTTTATCATATATCATCTTTGCCAATTAGCTAGGCAAAAGATAACGTCTCTGTTGTTTTAATTTGCATTTATTTGATTCCTGTGGAGGCTGACCACTTTTTGTAAATGTACGGGCCCACTGTTGTTGTTCTTTTTTGAATAGTCTGTTCTTGTCCATAGTCTGTTTTTCTATTGGGTGCTCATTTTATTGATCTACAAGAGTTCTTTATAATATAAAGGCTATTAATCTTTTGCTACATTTTCTCCCCAATTACCTGCTTCATATATATATATATAAATATAAATATATAAACATATATATACTTATATATATATAAATATACATATACTTATATATATATATTTATATATTTATATTTTGACCTCCAGAGGTTTTATGTGTATCAACCCATCAATCTGTTGGACTTCATGGAACTTCATTGTTCTAAATGGGACTGAAGTCCTGCCTCAGCATCCTTCGCCCTTACCTACACCCCCACTGTCCTTCATCTGCTTGCTCAAGGGTCTCCAGTCACTCCTTATCAATAGTTCTTAACTCTACATGCTAATGAGAACCATATGGGAAAATTTAAAATATATTCCAGACATTCTGAAGCAAAATCGTGAGAGTGGGTCCAGGTGTGCAGGTTTTAAAAATATATAACAAATATATTACATATAGGAAAGTGCATGTATTATAAGTTTAATGACTGGTTACTAACTGAAGATATCTTCTTCACAGGTGGCTTTGCTCTAAGGTTGGGTTGACACCTAATGATCTAACCTCTTGGTCAACTGGTGATCTCCAACTAGTCTCCTCCCCCTTCTCGTGAACTGAGGACACAGGGAACTTGTCTCAGGTTCTAAGGTGCCTCCTTCCCCTCCTTGAAGAGTGTGGACCTTCCTTGCAGTTCTGAGACAAGGGGGCCCTCTAACCACTCCCACAACTGTAGGCCACCTCCCTCCCAACAAGCCAAGGTGGGGATGAGGGTGATGCCTGGTGGGAGGAAGTGGTGGTCACCCTACTATCTGTTTCCTGACATGAGTCCTGGTACAATACTATGCACCGAGACTGTGGCCACTGCTTAATGGTGGCAGCGATGGCGGGGGGAGGGGGGGCACAGTGACACAGAGACCAACCCCAGAAACAGCAGGCATGACCCCAATTCGGAGGGCCTGAGGAACTAGGGGCTCCAAAGTCGTTCCCTGCCATCAATGGAAAACCCAGGACTACATTTCAGGTCACAAGGAGCACACCCTATCTAGTGAGAACCCTGTGACCCAATTGCCATTTCTTGATAGTCCACTCACTTCAGAACAATCTCATCTAGTTCACTTGTTTCTTATTCATTCATTCAATCCTCTACATGCCAGGAACTGAGTATACATTAGTGAACAAGACAGGTAAGCTTCCTGCTTTCAGGGAGCCTGAACTTAATGAGGAGGATAGATAATGGTAAATAATCACCAGAAACTATGAGGCAGTGACAAGCAGCTGAATAAAAGAGGCTCAGTGGCTGGAAGATTCTGGAAGGCAGGGGTGGTACAAGAGGAGCCTAGAGAGGTAGGTCCAGGTGACTTGACATGTGGCTGTGTGAGTCAGGACAAGAGGTCTGGATTTGTTTTGCCCCTCCCACCTCCCCGCGCCTTTTCATAACTTTTTATATGCCTACTAGAAAATTTAAAATTACATATATAGATCACATTATATTCCTGCTAGTCAGCACTGGTCTAAAGGATGACAAAATAGAAATAACCATATATTTGAATCATGCCGTGCCTGTGTTCATTACAAAGAATCTTCTGTTATATCTCTTAACAGATCCTCTCAAGAATCAACTGAGACACGGTAGTCCTGCCTTATCAATGGTTTTGTTTCTGAGGTTTTTGCTACCTGAAGTCCAAAATTATTAAATGGAAAATTCCAGAAATAAACAATTCATAAGTTTTAAATTGCGTGCCCTTCTGAGTGGTGTGATGAAATCTTGTGCTGTCCAGCTCCATCCTGCCTGGGGTGTGAATCATCCCTTTGTCCATCGTATCCACGCTGTACACGTTCCCTGCTCACTAGTCGCTTAGTAGCTGTCTTGGTTATCAGATCAACTGTCCCTGTATCACAGTGCTTATGTTCAAGTCACCCTTATTTTACTTCATAATGGCCCCAAAGCCATTCACATAACTTTTATTATAGTATATTATTATAATTGTTCTATTTTGTTATTAGTTATTGTTGTTATCTCTTACTGTGCCTAATTTATAAATTAAACTTTATCATAGGGATGTATGTATAGGAAAAAAACAGTATATATAGGATTCAGTACTATCCAGGGTTTC